ACACGATCAGCTGTGTCTCCATGGCAACAGCCTGACACATCAGCTGCCGGTGGAGAGCTCAATCTGTCACAGTTTGATTTAAGTTTTAACGCAAAACTCTGACAGGATACTTCCTGTTGTCTTGCTGTTTGTTTTTTCAGAATAAAAGGACTCGAACTGAACTGTTCACGCAATAAAAGAGACACTCTGACCGTTATTCTGAAACAGGAAACACATTTTGGATGAATCTTTTGTAAAATGATCTTCCTGCTGTCAGATGCAGCGTCTGTATTTTTCTTCTTCTTCTTTCTGAGAACTTTTGCTGTTTGACCGTCGTCAGTGTTTCTGCCTGCGTGTTTATTGAGCCTGTGTTTGACCCGTAGTTGTAGTTCTTTGATCAGATTAGATTTCTGCATGCGTGTGACGATGAAGATGAAGATTTATGGTGCTTCTTCAGGATACTTTTTTTCCCCAATAAAGAGAGAAGGCAGAGCTTAAACTCTGCACACCACTGATGAATTGTGTAAATGGAGGTCACAGTTTGACCTTTGACCTCCTGATCTCTGTACAGTTTTCTAACCTGATGGATCAGATCCTCCGCTCTGATTGGTCGAGCTCTGTTTGTTACTGAAAACGTTTTTTTTCTACAAGGGAATAGAAACTTTAAAATGTTTGTAAAAAAAACTGATCCAGGATCAGACTGAAGCTGTACAGTTTGATAACAGCGTGTAAATGTGCCTGTAAATACCTGTGCAGGTGAAGATGAAGATGATGATGATGATGATGATGATGAAGATGGTGATGACCACAGTGTGAATTGTAAATGTGTTTTATTGTTGAGATGCTGGAGGCCAAACGCAGTTTGTATTCTGTAAAAATAAAGTTATAATTTTAACATTTCTCTGGCTGCTCGTGTTGATTCTGCTCAAACATAATGTGTATTATCGTCTGATGACGCGCCCCCCCCCCCCCCATGTTTAAATGTAAGAGATCCTCCACTGGTCCTAGTTTGGGTCCAGGCTTGGCATGGCTGCCCACTGCGCATGCGCAGAGCCCGGTGTCCGGTGTCAGACTGACAGCAGCTGTTGAGACCGTGCACACGGGGACCGTAGCTGAAGGAAACACACCGAGAATAACCGAGTGGACCCGGTACTGACCCGGGACAGACCCGATACTGACCCAGGATAGACGGACAGAACCTGATGATGCTAACAGACCAGCAGCTGTTTTGTCTCGGGTTAAGGGCTAACTGACAGGCAGGCCACGCCGCACGCACTGACCCTTTCCGACCCGGGTTAGATTCTGGAGCATCTGACCCGCCTACAGCCGGACCTCTCTCCCGGGGTTGCAGCCCGGTGTCTGGAGGATATCAGCTGGCTAACGGAGGCTAAAGCTAGCCGTCACAGAACCGTCAGACCAGTCGGGATAGTTCGCTCTGATCCGGCTGGGTTCGTGGACCGGAAGCCAGGATGTTGATAGGTAATGTACTCCTTACATGGGTCGGTGACCCGGTTCAGCTGTCAGTGCGGTCGGTGCCGTTTGACTCCGGGTCAGAGACCGTAAATAAACAAACTAAACTCAAGAGAACACGCTAATATGCTAAGCTAGCTACTGTTATCTAACGGTACCAGGCAGTGACTGCTGAACACACACACACACACACACACACACACACACACACACACACACACACACACACACACACACACACACACACACACAGAGCTGCTGACACACACACACACACACACACAGAGCTGCTGACACACACACACACACACACACACACACACAAAAACCAGACACACACACACACACACTCACAGAGCTGCTGACACACACACACACACACACACACACACACACACACACACACACAGAGCTGCTGACACACACACAGACACAGAGCTGCTGACACACACACACACACACACACACACGTGTTTTTATGTTTGTATACTGTAAGTTGCACTCAGCTGTGATTCTATCTAATCCAGTCTCACACACACATCAGTGTAACTGAACCAAACTCCATTCAAAACATGAATTTACAGATTCTGCTCTTTATTAGACCTTCACATGGTTTTTCTGCTCGATTGTTTGTTGTTTATTTAATTGTACAATCTGTCGGAGAATTCGGCTCTCATCTGACCCTCTCATCATATTTTAAAATAACTTTAAAGTTTCTTTTCTCGGGTCACAGAGTCACATCTTTAAAGTGTACATGTGTGCAGTGCAGTCTTGTCTGTAGTTTTGTAAGCCGGGGTGTGAGTACTTTTGTGTGTTAAAATATGTTGTATGAACCTTTTTTCTGTGACTCATTAGTATCCATGTCATGTATGATGACAACAGATTTGTTTTCTGTAAGAGTCACGTTTCTACTTTGAGTTAAAGTGTTTGAATGAGGTGTTAAAAAATCATGTCTGCTCCTACTGTGATATGTTTTCTCTTGCCACATTTCTAAATGGAGTTTGGTGTGTGATTTATGGTTGAGTTATGAAGCAGTTAGAGGAGCTGTTAATATGTTGTGTTGAATCCCATTTCATATATCTACTTTTTATTCATATTAAAATGTGATTAATGTTTGTTGTCTCTCTGCTGTCCCTTCAGCAGCCGTTGGAGCAGGAAGCGGAAACGCCGCCACCACAGGCAAGAAACACCGCCGCAGAGGAAAGAAAAACCGGAGAGTCCGAACAGATGAGAACCGGTGAGACAGACACACACACACACAGACCTAAATTTAGCCTCTGAGTGTGTATGTATGAATCTAGGGCAGTCAGCTGTGTGTGTGTGTGTGTGTGTGCGCGCATGTGTGTTGATCTGCTGTCTTAGTACTGATTCAATGAGTTACAAAAACATCTTTCCTCTAACCTGCTAAAGCTGTGATTTTGTGTTAAAGTAAACAGTCAACAAGTTTGAAACAACTAATTTGTTTAAAAAAACAAAATCAAACCCTGCTCACACTTTCACCTGGTTCACCTTTACCTGACATAAGCTCAGAAAGAAAGAGAGAGAGAGAGTATAGAGCAGTGGTTCTCAACTGGTCTAGCCCAAGCAGCAACATTGGGTCTTGGAAAAAGTGCAAACTCCTGCAGTTCCTCAAGTATCCACTAGAGGCTGGCTGCAGAAGGACAGGAAGTCACATACACACCCATTAAAAAAAGCCTGTTTTTACAGCAGAAATCAACATGTTTACAGCCTGGTTTAATAACAGAATAGGTCTGATTAGGCATGATTGACAGGTGGGGGCGGTGCAACGGTTTGTCAGGAGGCTTAAAACCCGCCTCAGCTCGTCGTTAGGTTGACTGAAAGTTAGTGTGAGACAGCATTTCCAGCATGGCGGTTGCTGCCAATGAGCCTCCGGAGTTCCCTGCAGGAACAGATGGGTGACTCAGGCTTCATCCAGTAATATTTACAGTCTATGGTCTTGCTACAGGAGCCACCACCAACTCCTTCATGAAAAATCACAACCCAAATTACAGATATTTTTCAACCAATCAGATTTGTTCAATGAAAAATTGTGCAGTTTGGACCTCAGATGGTACAAAACATGTGACAGAACAAAGAAACTTAACAAAAGAAACGTGTTGCAAAAGCGCTTTAAAGTCTTTTTGACACAATCCTTTTTCAGGTACAAATTTGCAACCCACTGACACACTGCACTGCAATGAAACGCAGATTATGTGTTTTTCTATTTTAACAGTTTGCATGTTTTATTCTTTGAACCTGTGACAGTCACCCTTCCTCGTTGTGCTGTCTGTGAGTCACACAGAATTTTTATTCTGACTTTTCATCTGAGTTTTGGGCGTAAAGTTTAAGTCTTCACTGTGCTGATGTGTGAATGCAGCAGGTAAAAATAGGAATATTTACTGTGAGCGTGCGTGCAAGAGGGGTTGATGATGTTTATATCACATGACCTTCATGTTTTCTGCTCACTGTATTTCCTTCTCCATCCTTTGTTCATACTGTGAATACGTCTAATCACACACAGCACTGATATAAAGGCCATTTTGTCATATTAACATCAGGCTCTGATGCTTCATCTGCTATTTCTGTATTGTTGTTTTTTTTACACCATGTCCTGCTTTCTGAGGTTGAGACACCCCTCCTGTCCAACAGGAAAAACTTCCAACTGTTGAGGGACATGTGTGAACTGGAAACTGGAAGATTTCAGGGACAGAAATGTTTGATATTTTCTAAAAATGTTCAGGACTGCATGACAGACAATTAAAGGTGCACCGATTTTCCAGCTGGTTTGTCTAATTTTCTGCGTTTTTAAAAGAAGTCGAAAAAATATTTTAATAATTATTCATTTAACTTTTTCCGGCATTTTTGAGTAATAGTTTATCTGATGGCTGTCAGTGAAAATTATAGATTAACCTCTCACGTTTTAACAAGCTATTATTATTATTATAATAATTTTTATGGATAACTAACTTGTGGAGTTCCACAAGGTTCCACTGCGGGTCCTCTGCTCTTTGTCTGTTAGTGATCCTAACACAATAACATCAAAAAACATTCAGTTTCAGCTGGGGCATCGTCAGATTTGACTACAGACGACAAAGACAAGACACTGACAATCAAGTTCAGCACCTTCACATTTTATCCAGCAGGGGGAGCTACAGACAGATGAAGGATGGAACAGACTGAAAGTTAAATTGTTGTTTTCACTCTTGCACTCTTCAAAATTTCTAGAAAATTTCAGACAGGCAGAGTTGGTTGTTCACAAACGAACCTCACACTAGGACACTATTCCCGTTAGACAGGAGGGGTGGGGGGGCTCAGGAGGCAGGACATGATGTAAAAGGACGCCACATAACTTTCATCATGGCGGTCGAAGCGATGGAGTCTGACGCTATAAAAGCAGGTTTTTGCCTTCATATCAGTGCTACATGTTATTAGATGTATTCACAGCACAAACAAAGAGTGGTTCATTACGTGCATGAAGATCACACCAGTTGAAGGATATAACATCATCACCCCCTCCTGCTCTTCATTTCCTGCTGTGTTCTCACATCAACTCACCCTGACTTTACACTGAAATTTGGACAGGGGGAAGGCAGGAAAATTCCAGATAAAGGTGGATTGAAAGATTGAGCTGTTTGTGTTCACACATGCAGCCGAGCCTGAAAACATGAGGACGTTTTCAGGAATTTGGTGTGTTAGTGAAAGCAGCCAATCACAGACGACTCTTGCACCTTTTCTGTGCTAAGCTATGCTAGGTGGTGTCCTGATTTGTTGGTCTGCTCCAGTAATAGCACACCCCCACCACACTCACACACACACACACACAGACACACACACACACACACAGACACACAGACAGACTCTTCAGTCTATTTCAGTGCAACTCTCCTCAGCAGTGACTCATGGAGAGCAGCTGTGTGTGTGGGTCACAGAAATCTGATACCTGTCGTCTGTATGTGAGGTCAGAGTGACATCATCAACAGGGGACGGACACGTCAAACTCTCTGGATTCATGACTCGATAATGACTTGACAAAGTAAATCTTATCAGACCATCACACTCAATTTGGGATTCATTTAATTAAATATGGAGATAATGCGTCACTTGTCATCCTCTCCTGATGTCGGACACAGATTTGACCTCAGCCATTAAAATGACAATATTTCTACTTTTAAAAAAAATCAGCCACAAGGAAGTGTCGGAATGCTAACGCTAGTTCTGATTGTTGCTTATCAAGTATGTTTTTAACTCCTATGCACAATATCTCTTCAGATTTGTTTGTGTAGTTTCTGATCATTTAGAAAGCTCTGAAATGAAAACAGTTCAGATTTATTTATTTACGTGACTTAAACCTGGAACATGACAGAAAAACCCTGACAACCTGTGGACGGCTTGTGAGGAAGTCCTTGTCCTACCTTCATGTGTGCTGACTAACATCCAGCTGTTTAGTCCCCCATTCATCTGGGGTAATGGTGTTAAAGCAGAACTCAAGTCTGAAAAAAAAAGAAAAGAAAAATGAGCAAGATCAAACCCTGCCCACTTCCTGATCCCAAAACAGCTGACCAGTCGCTGGAAGAGTTGGTTCTAATGTCATTAGCCCAGGTGTAACACCCTATTTTGTTCTGTTTCAGGCCTGATGACCTCTGTGACCTTCAGAATCTAAACAACAACAGAAGCCCCCCACCAATATCACCCACCTCTGCGCCAAACACCCATCGGAGTCCTCCAGAGTCCACTCATCTATTCCCCCAGAGTCCTCCAGAGTCCACCCATCTACTCCCCCAGAGTCCTCCAGAGTCCACTCATCTACTCCCCCAGAGTCCTCCAGAGTCCACTCATCTACTCCCCCAGAGTCCTCCAGAGTCCACCCATCTACTCCCCCAGAGTCCTCCAGAGTCCACTCATCTATTCCCCCAGAGTCCTCCAGAGTCCACTCATCTACTCCCCCAGAGTCCTCCAGAGTCCGCCCATCTACTCCCCCAGAGTCCTCCAGAGTCCACCCATCTACTCCCCCAGAGTCCTCCAGAGTCCACCCATCTACTTCCCCAGAGTCTTCCAGAGTCCACCCATCTGCTCCCCCAGAGTCCTCCAGAACCCACCCATCTGCCCCCCCAGAGTCCTCCAGAACCCACCCATCTGCCCCCCCAGAGTCCTCCAAAACCCACCCATCGGCCCTCCAGGAGTCACCTAGAGCCCACCCATCTGCCCCACCAGAGTCCTCTAGAGACATCGGCAGGAAGCTCAGCTGCATGTACACAAGGTGTCCAAGAGTCCACCAAAGCTATCCAAAAAAACCTGCCCCATACCAGGTTACCCACTGAAACCCCTCCACTTCCCCCCCAGAGTGTCCACAGAACCCCAACCGAGCCCCTTCTGAACCCCCCCAACATCAAGACCTCCTTTAAGGATATGGCAGATACCCCTAGAGCCACCCTGAGAGACCCTGTGGTCAGCCAATCACCTCCCTCCAGATCTCTAGACCCCGACCACAGTCCCAACCAATCACCGCCCTCCTCATCTCTAAAACCCTCCCAGAGTTCCTGCAATTTACAGCCGAACACTAATAGCCAGAATTCCTTTGACTTACCTCAAAGAACCTATCAGAGTCTCACTGACAGCCAATCAGATCTCTCAATATCACCCCCAGCCTTACCACTCAGTATTACCAACAATCACTCCAAACTACCATCACCCTTACATCCTGTGAAAGCTCCTCCCACACCTCCATTAAGCCCCTCCCCCTTTCTGTTGCCCTCAGTGACCTTCACCTCCAGTGCCTCCTCCCACCCTTTCTCCCCCGCCTCCTCGTCCTCCTTCCTTTACTCCCTCGACTCTCTTGCGCCTCCCGTTGGTCTCCTTCCCATGATTTCATCGGCCACCCCTCAGCTGACCACGCCCCCTCCACCATTTAGTCCACCCCCTCCTGAGTTAACCCCGCCCCCTGTACAGTTGCTGGGCTCTGATGATGAAGAGCAGGAAGACCCGTCTGATTACTGTAAAGGTGAGGCGATTGATTATTAATTTATTGAATTGTGACACAGTGGATGGTGTTTTGATAGCTTTAGCTCGTTAGCTTTGTTCTGATTCAGATGATAAAATGATCCATTGTATTATTTTTCTTGTTTTGTGTTCACACTGAAATGTTGTAATAAATATCTGTACGCCATTACATCACAGCCTCCTTTTCCCCACTGCCTATGTAAACAAAAGCCATGTCCACTAGTTGCACTTTGCATTGTGGGACGCCTCCAAGTCGCCAGTTAGCTAGTTCACCTAACACCAGAATCGAGTGAGGGTGGAATTTGCAGCAACAAGGAGGTCAAAATCTTACATTTAAGCTGACTGAACTTATCCATCAAATGTTTGATACCACAAAACTGTTGACGGAGAGACGAAGGGTCACTAAAACCTGCAACTCTCCAAGCTGGCTCGCAAACATTTGTGTGTTCTGCAAACCTCCGTGCACTCTGAACGGGTTTTCTCGTCGGCATGTAATTTGCAAATAAAAAGATGGCTGCACTCGATCCTTTATTTCAGAACAACTTCTCTAAATGATCGAAACAGTCAAACAGCGGCACCTGCTGGATGGTTTACCCTCACAACAAATTACCAAGAATACATTACAGACTGTCCTGTAAGAGCCCCTGAACCTCAGCTCCACCGGCCCAGCATCTGTGGTGGCTGGGAAGTGCAAAGCAAAATTACAAAGTGTGAAACACTAACCCCAAATTTACATTTGAAAAACACTTTTACATTTTGTAAAAACAAAATTACAAAACCAAAACACCTTTACCAAGGAAAAAACACATTTAGATTTTATAAAACAAATTTACAAGATGTGAAACACTTTTACAATCACTGAGACAAATGTACAAGTGGCAGAACACTTTCACCAGTCCACAAACAAATTTACAAACGGCAGAATCTTGACAGAAAGGGAATGTACCAAATGCAGGAAGTGAATGAGTTAGAGGTCAATTTGTTTTGTTTTGGGGGCGCGCACCCCATGTATTGAGGCTGTCGTCTCAAGCGGGCGGCCCGGGTTCGCATCCTGCCTGTGGCCTCCTTCCCGCATGTCGTTCCCCACTCTCTCTCCCTGGTTTCCGACTCTATCCACTGTCCTATCTCTCCATTAAAGGCACAAAAGCCCAAAAATAAATCTTAAAAAAAAAAATTGTTTGTTTTGGCAGGAAAAAAAAAAAAAAAAAAAAAAAATTCAAAATCTAAATTTGTCTCAAATTTGTAAACGTGTTTCCCACTTCGTAATTTTGCTTTGCACTTCCCAGCCAACGTAAGAATCGGCCCCCTGGTCCAGTACCTGGTTCTGACAGTGACATGTACGGGGGTCTGCCTGTCTCTGTCTCTGGTCTAGTTTGGTGGTTAATGGCGTTCTGTTTGGTTTCAGGTGGATACTACCCGGTGAAGATCGGTGACCTGTTCAATGGGAGGTACCACGTGGTCCGCAAACTGGGCTGGGGACATTTTTCTACAGTGTGGCTCTGCTGGGACCTTCAGTACGACACACACACACACACACACACACACAAAGGTTTCTGATTGGCTCGTGTGTGAGTACTGATTGCGTTGTTTTTTTTTAGGAGGAAGCGTTTTGTGGCGTTGAAGGTGGTGAAGAGCGCTCCTCACTACACAGAGACGGCACTGGACGAGATCAAACTGCTGCGATGTGTGAGTCTCCTGCACGCCACCGTGTTACTGTTCTGTGCCTGCGGAGGTCATGTGACCCGAGCAACCTGTCTGTCTGTCTGCAGGTGAGAGACAGTGACCCGTCTGACCCCTTCAGAGAAACTATCGTCCAGCTGATCGACGACTTCAAGATCTCTGGAGTGAATGGAGTCCGTATCCTGATAAACTGTCTGTCTCTCAGCCTCCATCTCTCTACCTGTCTGTCTCTCTGCCTGTCTGTCTCTCAGCCTCCATCTCTCTACCTGTCTGTCTGACCTTAACTATAATCAGATGTGTGTATGGTGTTGGAGGTTTTGGGTCATCAGTTGTTAAAGTGGATCATCAAGTCGAACTACATGGGGCTGCCTCTGGTCTGTGTGAAGAGCATCATCAAACAGGTACACTCCTTCACTCAACAGTGACTCGTTCACTCGACAGTGACTCCTTCACTCGACAGTGACTCCTTCACTCGACAGTGACTCGTTCACTCGACAGTGACTCGTTCACTCGACAGTGACTCGTTGACTCGTCAGTGACTCGTTGATTCGACAGTGACTCGTCAGTGTCTCGTTGACTCGTCAGTGTCTCGTTGACTCGACAGTGACTCGTTGACTCGACAGTGACTCGTTGATTCGACAGTGACTTGTTGATTCGACAGTGACTCGTCAGTGTCTCGTTGACTCGACAGTGTCTCGTTGACTCGACAGTGACTCGTTGATTTGACAGTGACTCGTTGATTCGACAGTGACTTGTTGATTCGACAGTGACTCGTCAGTGTCTCGTTGACTCGACAGTGTCTCGTTGACTCGACAGTGACTCGTTGACTCGACAGTGACTCGTTGATTTGACAGTGACTCGTTGATTCGACAGTGACTCGTCAGTGACTCGTTGACTCGACAGTGACTCGTTGACTCGTCAGTGACTAGTTGATTCGACAGTGACTCGTCAGTGTCTCGTTGACTCGTCAGTGTCTCGTTGACTCGTCAGTGACTCGTTGATTCGACAGTGTCTCGTTGACTCGTCGTTGACTCGTCGTTGATTCGACAGTGACTCGTTGACTCGACAGTGTCTCGTTGACTCGACAGTGACTCGTTGACTCGTCAGTGACTCGTTGATTCGACAGTGACTCGTCAGTGTCTCGTTGACTCGACAGTGACTCGTTGATTCGACAGTGACTCGTTGACTCGACAGTGACTCGTCTGTGTGTTGCAGGTCTTACAGGGTCTGGACTACCTCCACACTAAGTGTAAGATCATCCACACTGACATCAAACCAGAGAACATCTTATTGGACGTTGACGAGGTCTACATCAGACGACTGGCAGCTGAGGCAACCGTCTGGCAGAGAGCTGGAGCCCGGCCCCCTTCTGGGTCATCAGGTGAGGAGCGAGCCCTGTGATTGGTCAGGAAATAGATATCAGACTAAACAGCGATTAGATATAAGAAGTATGTGAGGAAACTTCTATTTAAACATTTGAACTTTCAATTCCCCCTCTCACCTGAAACCTGTGATGAGTGCTGGTCTCGTTTGATTGGACGATCTCAGCATGATCAGTTTATTGATCCTTGTGGAGAATCTGACCAGCTGATCGATCAGCTGTTCAAAACGCGACTCATCAAGTTCAGTTTGTGTCTCAGTCTGAGTCACCAGGTCAGGACTCACAGACAGCCTCCCACCTGTCTGTCTGCTCGTACCTGTTGACTCAATGTCTCTCTCTTCAGAAACGGTTCTAACCTGTCTACCTGTCCATCTGCATTTCTGTCTGCTTGTCCTTCTGCCCATCTACCTGTCTGTCTGTTCACCTGTCCATCTACCTGTCTGTCTGTTCACCTGTCCATCTACCTGTCTGTCTGTTCACCTGTCCTTCCTACCTGTCTGTCCGTCTGTTTTTCATCTTTACTTCCTGTGTTTCTGATGTTTCTTCCTGTCTCTTTCTCTCCCTGTCTGTCTCTCTGGGTGTCTCTCTCTCTAGTTAGCATGGCTCCCAGGGATCATCAGGTAAGTGTCCAGGTGTGCTGCCTGCCGTGATCTCATTGGTTGCTTCTGAAGTAGAGCTAGTTTCAGGTGTTTTTAAAGGTCCAGTTCACACCTGGACAAAAGGAAGTGTTCATCTAAAAAAACTGTCTCCTGTTCCTCTGAGCTCATCACTGACAAACAGACAGGTACACAGACAGACAGACAGATAGACAAACAGGTACACAGACAGACACACAGACAGACAGGTACACAGACAGACAGACAGGTACACAGACAGACAGATCTAATGTGATGATCAGGTTCACTTGTCTCACCTGTTACTTCTTCAGTTTCATCACATATTGTCAGTATGAGAGGTGAACTTTGCCCCGCCCACTTTGATGCCCCGCCCACTCTGATGTAATGATGATGTCAGAGATCTTAAGAGCTAAACACATACACCACTGATGTTTACCCCAGGTGTGAGCAGAGACTCACCTGCAGGTTTAAAATCCACCAAACAATCCTGCTTGTTTAGTGTTAAAAAAAACAATGGTCATCCTTTGGTTGTTTACAAACAAACTCGCTGGTTACCATGGTAACCCGGTCACTGTTGGACTTTAGCTGCATGTGTTTGTGTGTGTGAGAAAGAGAGAGCAGTGTCACAGTATCAGTTTGTAGAAAATAGAAACTTCACTGTGTGTGTGTGTTTGTGTGTAGATGGGTAAGCTGTCTAAAAACAAGAAGAAGAAGTTAAAGAGGAAGGCGAAGCGTCAGCAGAGGCTGCTGGATGAGAGACTGGTCGACATACAGGTGAGTGTGTGTGTGTGTGTGTGCGTGCGTGTGTGTGCGTGCGTGCGTGCGTGAGAAATGTTTGTCAGTTAGCTGCATTAAGCTAAATTATGCTAACGAGCTGTGATTGGTCGAATTGTTAGTTTGTGTTTCAATGAGATGATGTTATTGTAAACATGTAGTCACCGTTAGCTCTTCACTCGTGACTATATCCGTTTCCGTCTACCTGGTTTTCACGGTGACCAATTGTATTCTGTATTCTGATTGGCCGGTAAGGTTGAATGAGCAGACATGTTTTAGTTAAAGGAGACAGAGAACAGAGGAAACATAAAAACATTTAAACATTATATTTACTGATTGAACTGCTCGTTTCATCGTTTTCTCTGATTGTAAATATCACGGTGTCTCTTCACGACTATGATGAGTGCAGCAGACGGCAGGAATGAACCAGGAAGTGACCGCATGGCTCTTTAAAAATAAACGTTTGTGTTGTGTGTGCAGAGGTTGGATGATGGCGAGGGTGTGCCTCATCCTGACGACACCGACAGTAACTGTGAGTATAACACTTTTATGCAAATATTATTTGCATATCAGATATTTTAATCAACAAACTGGTCCACACAGCATGTGATGCTGAGGGGGGCGGAGCTTGACTCTCTGACGGAGGTGTCAGAGGCGAGGATGCACCATCATATTTATTTATGCTTCAGTAACTTGGGGGTCGCTCTCTCTGGTTGCCAATGACAACACATCTCTGGTCCACAGCAAACACTAAAGGGAGCCCGGAGTCTACCTGTTCCTGGCTGGAGGACAGGTGTAATGGCCACACCCCCGGACGGTTCTCCAGCCCTGCATCCGGCCTATCGGGGTTCTCCAGCTCTGTGATGTCGGCAACATCCGAGTCAGCACTTTCTACCCAATCAGGATGCTCGAGTGGACAAGACGGTGAGACCACACACACACAAACACACAGACGCACACACCTGTTTGTCTCTCTGTGTGTGTCGGGTGATGACCTGTCTGTCTCTCTGTGTGTGTCGGGTGATGACCTGTCTGTCTCTCTCTGTGTGTCGGGTGATGACCTGTCTGTCTCTCTCTGTGTGTCGGGTGATGACCTGTCTGTCTCTCTGTGTGTGTCGGGTGATGACCTGTCTGTCTCTCTGTGTGTCGGGTGATGACCTGTCTATCTCTCTGTGTCTGTCTCTCTGTGTGTGTCGGGTGATGACCTGTCTGTCTCTCTGTGTGTCAGGTGATGACCTGTCTGTCTCTCTGTGTGTGTCTCTCTGTGTGTGTCGGGTGATGACCTGTCTGTCTCTCTGTGTCTGTCTCTCTGTGTGTGTCGGGTGATGACCTGTCTATCTCTCTGTGTCTGTCTCTCTGTGTGTGTCGGGTGATGACCTGTCTGTCTCTCTGTGTGTCGGGTGATGACCTGTCTGTCTCTCTGTGTGTGTCGGGTGATGACCTGTCTGTCTCTCTGTGTGTCGGGTGATGACCTGTCTGTCTCTCTGTGTGTCGGGTGATGACCTGTCTGTCTCTCTGTGTGTGTCGGGTGATGACCTGTCTGTCTCTCTCAGTCTTCAGTGCGTCAGACTTCGTCCTCAGTCCGTTGGATCCTCTGAACGCTCACAAGCTCAAAGTGAAGATCGCTGACCTCGGAAACGCCTGCTGGGTGGTGAGACACCTTCATCATCATCATCATCATCCTCAGTACAGACAAAGAGGAGGCGTCTGATTGGTCGGATGTTAACTCTCTCTTTCTCTCTCTCGTCCAGCACAAACACTTCACAGAGGACATTCAGACTCGTCAGTATCGAGCTGTGGAGGTTCTGATTGGAGCAGAGTACGGAACTCCTGCTGACATCTGGAGCACTGCCTGCATGGTACACACACACACACACACACACACACACACACACACACACACACACACACACACACACACACACGCTGTAACGGTGATCTGGTGAAATTCCACCAGATGGTGTTAGTTCTGGGTAATTGTTGTACTTGTGTTTGTGTAGTGTTGTTGTAGATGTAAATGATTAATTGATTTATTGATGATGTCATGAGTGTATGTTGTTGACTGTTTCAGGCGTTCGAGCTGGCGACAGGTGATTACCTGTTTGAACCTCATTCAGGAGAAGATTACACCCGAGATGAAGGTAAGACACATCAAAGTACACACACTACACACAATACACACAGTACACACTGTACTACAGTCAGACAACACAGATATGGTTTGTTTTCAAAACTCTGGTACTTCAGTGTGTACTTCAGAGTGCACTTTAGTGTGTACTTCAGTGTGTACTTCAGAGTGCACTTTAGTGTGTACTTCAGTGTGTACTTCAGAGTGCACTTTAGTGTGTACTTTAGTGTGTACTTCAGAGTGCGCTTTATTGTGTACTTCAGAGTGTACTTCAGAGTGTACTTTAGTAAGTATTTTTTATTATGCTTGCCTTGTTCAGATCACATCGCTCACATCATGGAGCTGCTCGGCCCGATTCCTCTGCCCTTCGCTCTGTCTGGCAGGTACTCCAGAGAGTATTTCAACAGGAGAGGTGAGACTGTGTGTGAGTATGTCTGTCTGTCTGTCTCACAGGTTGACACAGGGACTGTAAACTGTCTCTGACTTCTGAAACAAACAGAATAACTTCATCTAAATATTTTTGACAGAAACAAGTCTATTAACTTTATCAGGATAGAGTGCAGCTCTCTTTTTATGTACATTTGCGAGCCAGCTTGGAGAGTTACAGGTTTTTAGTGACCCTGTCTCTCTCTCTCTCTCTGAACCTGTCTCTCTCTCTCTCTCAGGTGAGCTGCGGCACATCTCCAGCCTAAAGCCGTGGGGTCTGTTTGAAGTCTTGTTGGAGAAATACGAGTGGCCGTTGGATCAGGCGGCTCAATTCAGTGACTTCCTGATGACCATGTTGGAGCTGCAGCCTGACCGCCGAGCGACGGCCGCGCAGTGTTTGCAGCACGCCTGGCTGCACACATAAACACACAGGACGACACACAATACACACACACACTTAGTCTGGGAGCGTTTGAAGTGTTTCACTTTATATTCAGAGGGAAACGAACACAACTGTCTGAGCTGATTCTTACACTGACCTACTGACCTCTGGCTGAATCCAAACGTCTGATTCTCACGATGCGTTCACTGTCATCCCGTTAAACAGATATAAAGCTGGGTTTGCTACATTGAAAGTTCAAATGTTTATTATTAACGCTCCTTTTAATGTCACGCTGTACCGTTGTATTATTGCAGTTTCTTTCTTTGAGTTCTGATCCTGTAAATGTTGAAGAGCACTCCTCTTCAGGTGAGGTGTTCAGGTGTTGTTTGGATTCAGCCTGAGCTCTGTTTCCTGTTCTTCACACTTCAGCTTCTTTCTCAAACTTTTCTCGTCTTGTTTCTTTTTTTCCGACTCTTGTTGATTTCATTTTCTCGAGTTAATTTGAACTTCACTTCTCGCTGTTTATGAAAGTTATTGGTTACTGATCAGAGACTCCTGAATGCCTGTGATGATGAAAGTCAGCTTTGGATTGGACGTAAACACTGTAGCTTCCTGTTCGCGCCTGAACCTCTCAGTTACTGATGACAGTATTTTTCTCCGGAGGGGCGTGGTCCTAGGATGGCCTCTGACCTCCTCACCTGTATTCATGTAATAAATAGTGCCTTGAAATAACCTCTGAACCCCCCCCACCGCCTACCCCGCTTCCCTGTATCGATGACATCAGCAGTGACATCACCAGAGACAAAGTTTTTTTTCTACGTGTCTGTCAGTGTGAAATGTCTGCCGTCAAAATAAAAATTTCTGAATTTTGACCTCTGACCTTTTAATAATCCCTGACTCATGAATCTTACCCTGACCTTTGACCCCTGACCCTGAGGGAGAAGGTCTTCCATCCCAGTAGTGTGATGTCATAGTATGATGAAAGGAGAGAGGATAAAAACAGCAGCTGATTTTTCATGTTTAATATAAAAACATTTCAAAAACCGGGGAACGGCTTGATTTAAGCACACACACACACACGCACACACACGCACACACACAGTTTATGTCAAACAGTCCTTTGCTGAGGTCATAGGTCAGCTCCCTCTGTTCACTTCTTCTTACGCACCACCGTCCAGCCGTCATCTTCTTCATGAGGGGGCGGAGCTTCTGTCCTGCTGACTGACGGGCCAGATGACTCACACTCCATCCCCTGAACACACACACACACACACACACACACACACACACACACACACACACACACACACACACACACACACACACACACACACACACACACACACACACACACACACACACACACACACACACACACACACACACAGAGTTCAGTTTGACATGAACAGGATGTTGGAGTTCTTGATGTATAGTATTTCTTTAAATCTAAAAACATCACCCCTGTGTCGTCTTCATCGCTGTCTTCATCAGACTGTGGGGGCGGAGCTGTGACCTTTGCCCTCTGAATCTTCTTCTGGGTTAGAGTGTTGATGGTGTGTTGGAGCTGCTGCAGCGCCCCCTGCTGCCACTGACTGAACATCTGCTGCAGACTGAGCGTTACCTGCACAGGTACACACAGAGTGACCATGAGTTCAGCACTGACAGAGGAGGAGGGTTCACTGTGTGTGTGTGTGTGTGTGTGTGTGTACCTCAGGTAAACTCCCATCATCCACCACTGTGTCAAACTCCTGATCCATCAGCTGAGCGATGAAGTCCTCGACCTCAGACTGCTGCAGGTCAGCTGAGAACACACACACACACACACACACACACACACACACACACACACACACACACACACACACCACACACACACACACACACACACACACACACACACACACAGATCATGATAATCTCTGATTAATTAATCACACACTGAACACTTAGAGGAAGGTTACCATGGTTACACACCGTTGTCATGGAAATACTGTTGGACCACGTCAACCATCCAATCGGCTTTCTGCTGCCCGTACACACCGCCAAACCCGTTATCCACAGCGATCTACAAACACAACACAACAAATCACTTCTATCTGAACCACTTCTCTTGACCGCTTCCATCACTGCAACACCTGTTGACCTGATAACTGCTCTCATATCTGACAAACCGAGGGGCGTCCAAAACGGCCGTGTGGGGGCGTGTCTTAAAAGCGCCTACCTTCTCTGGTCCAAACAAATCCAGAGCATTCAGGAGCAGAATCTAAAGTTAGACATCCTCCATGTAAACTAGCCTGTTAGCTTTAGCCTGTTAGCATCGTCCCGTGCTCGGCAGTGAGCTGCTCAGCGGGATTTTCTCTCCGTCAGGTGTTCCGCAGGTGTACGTCAGGTGTGCGTCAGTGTTCATGTTTACCTGGAGGACGGGCCAGCTGTGCAGAACCGCTCGGACTCCCTCCGAGAAAAGCTCACGTGAAGCTGTGGAGGCCGCCATGTTGGATCTGACAGACTGAAGCAGTCGAGTGAGGAAAGTGCCGATCAGACAGAAGCAGCTGATCCCGATTAAATATATTACTTTAATTAAAACATAACACAAAAAAAAATCATATTTAGAACTTTTATTTAACTAATGTTGTTATTTTGTTCAGTATTTATCTTTTGTTAGGATTATTTGTGTTTTATTAATCACAAAGTTAAATTGGCCAAATTGTTGTCACTTTTTGTCATTTATTCTTATTTTCATTGATTTTACAAACCAATCAATGGATCATAAATAAATAAAATAAAATGCAGATAAATCCAAATTAAAATGAACAATTACTGAACAAAATATTAAAAAAATATCAATTTAATTGCAATTATTACAATAATTAATATGAATCTAAAGATAGTCAAATAAATATTGGAACATTTTCACATTTAAATACTCCAACTTAATTTGAATAAACTTGTATATCAGAATATTTTACTGTGTAGTATTGGTACTTTTATTGTGGTAACTTTTTACTGTGATGTCTGGAGTGTCCAGCAGGGGGGAGCAGCTGATCTCAGATCTGACTTTAATAAAGCTGCTTTAATTATTTTCAGCTTTGCTTTAGAAGAGAATGAATAAAATGGATGGATTTCAGTCAACAGCTGAGTTAAACTACTGAGTGCAGTACTGATCACTGAATGTAGTATTTGAGGTATTTGTACTCCACGGATTGATAAAACAGACAAAAATAAATTAGAACCGAATTTAAATGTTTAGTTTATTGTCGTCATCAATAAACGCTCAGAATAAAGTTTATTTCAGAAAACAAACGTTTTAAAAAGATTTTAAAAAGTATAAGGACTAAAATCTTTAGCTGAAAAAAAAATGTCTCAGTTTCTTCTTGAGTTTGTCTGCACTTCTTGATAACTGCAGGGGGCGCAAACTTAAAAAAGAACACCTAAACATAATGATGATGATGATGATGATGTGAGGCATGTATGTCACATGCAGAGCAGGGCACACGTCCGTTTTTTCCGTTAAACGCTGATTATCTGCGTTACATGGAGGGCAGAGCAAGAAAGTCCGGTTTCTATTCAGGCTCTCATTGGCTGTAGTAGCCTAGGAGAGGTGATTAGAGGCTGATTGGTCAAAGGAGGTGTCAATCAAAAGGTTAGATTGCATGAATTAGTACAGAGAAAACAGTCGAACAGTGGTGGAAATGTTGAATCAATCTGTGAATCTTTATGGATGTAATGTGTTTGTATTTAATCTTTTACTGGATTTGTATCGTTGAGGACTATTGCAGCAGGACCATTATTGTTGGAATATCGTGACCAGACCAAAACATTTGACTTTCAGACGCAAGAAACATGAACCAGAAAGACATGTTTGTCTGATGCTGTTCTGACAGACGTGTAGATTGTTGCTGTTGTGTTGGTTAGATCTTGAGATGATTTATAATAAGTCTCAGAGCTCCTCAAAACATGTGTGTGAAGTTTCTTGTTCTAAATCCACTCTGATCCTGTATTTGATCATGTCTATAAACCCCTCTATTTCAGCCCTGCTCAGAACAGGCTGTTTCTGTGTCTGTACCTTTAAATATGTAAATGAGCTGTGTCTGACCACGCCCCCTCTCTGGAAGGGCTCGGGTGTACTCGGTGCTTTCTCGCTCCATGTCCTATTGTTTACGGTGAGAAGGCAGACTCAGAGGGCAGAACAAACACCTAGCTGTGGGAGTGTCACCCACCTGGGGGAGGGGCTACTGCCCTTTGTGATGTCATGAAGGGAAAATCTCCAAACTGCCTGTTTGAGCACACATTTTCTGAAAAGTGGAGCAGGCAGAAGACAGAGAGGATGGACTTTTCTCATCATTGGGGGGTTTGTAGACAGACTAGAGACACATGGTGAAGAGGATTTAAATAATATGTGACCTTTAATATTTACGCAATTAACTGATATCGAAGTTGACATGTTTGTTAAATTTTTGATTAACTGTGCCCACATCTGGTTACGTGTGTGTGTACCCTGTGCTAAATATTTTAAGTTGAAGTGAAACAAAAAATTCAGAATAAAAGTCAAACAGGAATATCTTTAATTCTTTACAACTGTCACTGATTAACAAAATACATTTTAACCTCTTTCAGTCTTTCTTACTGGTGATAACAACATTTAACTTTTTGTGCAATGTTCTCTAAATAAAAATAGATCTGTAGTACTGGGAGGGTGCTTGTACTCCCTCCTGGGGGGGGGGGGGGGGGGGGGCAGTGGATTTTTCGTGCAGCAGAGAAAACAGTAGAAGAAGAAATATGACCCACTTCTTCGACTCTTCGGGGATATGAACCATCCGCTTGTCGCTGCCTTGCTCCTGAGCCGCTCACATGAACATAAATGTTTAACCATCATCTGAAACATTCAGCAGCTCAGCCTGAAATATCTTCACCATCATCTCAGTCTTCCTCATACACGTGTAAGCCCCGCCCACCTACAGTATGACTGACCATATAAGGACTTAAACCACGCCCATTAGTCATATAATAACTCCAGCTTCAGACTTCACACTGAAGTCAAATAAATCAACATCTCGTTGTGTCCTCTAGCTCTTTTACTAGTGGCCCCCAGAGCATGCTGGGAGTTGTAGTTTCTGCTGCAGTGTCTGTCTCAATACTAATCACATGGAAAACATTTTTTCATTAAAGGTGCACTATGGACTTTTGGTAGTGACATTTGAAAGTTGAAGAAGTGAAGCAATTCTATGATATATTTTTTTAAATGAAGACACAAACTTTACTTAAAGAAAAAAATGGGTCCCTGGAACACTGTTTGGAGCTAAAACAGCTACCAGAAGAGTTACGCTTTCACGGATTACCTCCATTACTTCTCGCGTATATTTTATCTTCAAACAGTGTTACAGGAAACCAAATTTTCCTCTGAGGACAGTTTGTGTATAGAGGTATGAACATACCACAGAATCTGTACACTTCTCTAACTTTCAAATTTCTCTATCAAAACTACATAGTGCACCTTTAATACACATAAATATAAAATACTCATTGCAATGCTAACAGCTAATTAGCAGAAAACAGAGTGTGATGTCATCAGTTCTGCAAGGGAAATGGTCATCAAGTCGACCAGAAGAAAAGTCAGAGGATCACTGAAGTCGACAACGAGGACAAAAATTTATTGCAATTTGTATTCAAATTGCAACAGAAATCCAGAAATTAAGGAAAACTCCTGAATCGTATCAAAGAAAAGGACAAAATATGCTAATCTGTCTATGTTGATCATCTGGGGCAACTTGTTGATCATCTGAGGGACCATGTTGATCATCTGAGGGACCATGTTGATCATCTGGGGCATCTTGTTGATCATCTGAGGGACCATGTTGATCATCTGGGGCATCTTGTTGATCATCTCAGGGATGATGTTGAGCATCTTTAAAACATGTTGATCATTTATAACAATGTGTTGATCCTGTGCAGCAACCTGTCGGTCATGTGCAGCGACTTGTTGATCATCTGGAGGGTTTTGATTGTGATGTCAGAAACATGATTGAGTCACATTTTATCAGGATCCATCCTACAGATGTTAATCAAAAATTCACAGAAGCAACATGTTGGTGAACTTAAAGATGAAGAAACATTACAAATACAACAAACTTTTTGAATACTGCAAATATTACAATAATACAAAGGTTCTTGTTGTAATGCAGTTTATAGGTTGAGTACCTGAATGCTTGGAGCTTTTACTGCGACCTGTCCGGTTCAATCTTTGTCTCTCCATTCTGTTTCCCGCTCATCTTGGCAGCCTGGACAACGGCCTGCAACACAGCAACTGTCAGCATACACAGCAACTTCCAGACAACACAGCAACTTTTAGGCTACATACCTTGAAGCTCTTTTTCCTCTTCTGGACGTTCTGCTCTGGGTGGAAGATGATGACGTAAACCTTCGGCATGTAGAGCATCCCGAGGGACACAAAGGCACTGAGAGACATGGAGACGGTCAAAGTGGCCGTCTGGATGAACATCTGTGATGAAAGAGAAAGAAGAACTTCTAGAACCTTGAATTTTTCTAATCTAACCCCTTTAGTGTACCACTAACCACTCTAAGGAACTTTCAGACTCCTGGGGCAACCTCTCAAGGAAAACAAGAACCCCTAAAAGTCCATAAGAACCAACTACAGGTCTCCAACCGCCTCCTCATGGACAATAAGAAGGACCTACAGACCTCCAGAACATCCTTGCATTTCTACTGTAACTCCTCAGTGATTACTACAATTCCCCAAAGGTCAATTAAATCCTGATTGAGGATGTCTAGCATCTTTTCAGAGCTGGACAGAGCTTACTGAAGAACAATGCAATCAGCTAAAGCCTCAATCCAAGAGGGCTTTTTTGGACAAAGTTAAACTGTATAATGACATCCTGTGTTTGTCTGTAATCTGTATAACCCATATGTTCAACTTTGGGCCTAATTCTGCTCAGATTTATCCCCCTGCCCCTCCCTGAACTCAGTCTGAACCACAAACACACATTGGGTTCTGATAAGGAGGGTAAATAGCCTATTCACCTGACAGTCTTCTTTCTGGTCTGCATGTTCGACTTTCTGGTCTTACCCATACTTTTTTATCAGTAGTCAGATTTGAGTTCTGGTTTCTGTTGTAGTTAACTTATTCAGATACCTGGAGTCAAGGTCTAGATGTTAATAAGGTCAACACAGATATAAAACTCAGATTCTAGGTCCTTGAAGTGGAATGAGGGTGTTTTGGTAGAAGCTTACAGGTCCTAGAAGCTTCTACCACAACACCCTCCCAAATGATGCAACAACACGACCCTTCAACCACCTTATGAACCACCTCCTTCATAACCATGTGAACCTCTTAAGGGATGCCAGACTCCATACAGTATACCCACAACATCTCAAAGACTGTAAGAACCATAAAGGGGCCAAACAAAACCAAAGTGGCAACCAAAACCCTCCAAAAGACAATGAGAAACACCTACAAGAACATTAAAACTCTGAAGCGCCAACAAGTACTCCCTACAGGATCTCTAAACCACAGGACTACCAGGTCTATTCAAGAAACACCTGCTTCCCTTAAAACCACAGAGATCCAGACCACCAAGAGCCTGCAGAACTTCCCCATAGATCACAAGAACCAACCAAATCATCAGAGAGAATCAAATGCTCACAGGTCCAAGATAACCTCCACCATCTGTTTGTTAAGCTCTTTTTTGTTGTCTCTTATCTTTTTGTTGGGCTTTTTTGGACAAAGTTAAGTTGTATAATGACATCCTGTGTTTGTCTGTAATCTGTAAAATCCATCTGTTCCAGTTTGGGATTAATTCTGCTCAGATTTATCCCCCTGCCCCTCCCTGCACTCAGTCTGAACCACAAACACACTTTGGGTTCTGATGAGGAGGGTAAATAGCCTATTCACCTGACAGGCTTCTTTCCGGTCTGCCTGTTCGATTTTCTAGTCTTACCTATACTGTTTTATCAGCAGTCAGATCTGAGTTCTGGTTTCTGTTGCAGTTAACTTATTCAGATATCTGGAGTCAAGGTCTGGATGTTAGGGTCAACACATATAAAACTCAGGACACCAGAATTTAAATGGCCTATCATGGTTTGGTTGATTATGGATTGATTGATCGTGGTTGAGTTGACCCTGGTCAAGTTGACTGTGGATTGGTTTATTGTGGTTAGGTTGACCCTGGTTGGGTTGATCGTGGTTGGGTTTACCCTGGTTTGGGTTGACCCTGGTTGGGTTTACCCTGGTTGGGGTAGACCCTGGTTGGGTTGACCTGGTTGTGTGTATCTTGATTAGTTTAGCTCTGGTTAGGTTGATCGTGGTTGGGGTTGACCATGGCTAAGTTGACTGTGGATCAGTTTATCATGTTCTGGTTGACCCTGGTTGGTTTGGTTTATCTTAGTTGGCCTGACCATTGTAGGCTTAATCTTGGTCGCCTTAAACCAGTTTGAGTTGGTCTTGGTTGGGTTGACCCATGTTGGGTTGATCTCAGTTGGATTGACCATTGTTGAGTAGATCTTGGTTGCATTAAACTAGTTTGGATTGACCCTGGTTGGGTTGATCGTGGTTGGGGTTGACCATGGCTAAGTTGACTGTGGATCAGTATATCATGTTCTGGTTGACCCTGGTTGGGTATTTCTTGGTTAGGTTTACCCTGGTTGGGTTGATGTTGGTTTGGTTGAGCTCAGTTGGATTGACCATTGTTGGGTTGATCTTGGTCGCCTTAAAATTGTTTTGGTTGATCGTGGTTGGGTTGATCATGGTTGGGGTTGACCCTGGCTAAGTTGACTGTTGATCAGTATATCATGTTCTGGTTGACCCTGGTTTGGGTATTTCTTGGTTAGGTTTACCCTGGTTGGGATAATGTTGGTTTGATTGATCTCAGTTGGATTGACCATTGTAGGGTTGATTGTGGTTGGATTGATTGTGTTTGGGTTGACCCTGGTTGGGTTCTTACCTTCTCTGTAGACTGGGCAGTGCCAAAGAAGATGGGTACAAAGGCGAGCCAGATGATGCAGGTGGTGTACATTGTGAAACCGATCGGTTTGGCTTCGTTGAACGTTTCTGGAACACCGCGACTCTTCACTGCATACACAGTACACGTTACCTAGCAACAGGAAGAATGAGTGTTACCTAGCAACCAGGACAGTCGAGCCTACTACAGCTTTTAACACCTTTTAAAGATCAATGTGACATCAGAGGGTATAGCCAATCAGAAACATGATAACTGCTCAGCTGATCAACAACAGATCAATCAGGCCTCAATAATCTATCTATGAGTCACCATGAGCACGATGCTGTATGTGAGGCAGCAGATGATTGACAGGTCTGACATGTCACACTTCAGGATGCCTCGGGCCAGGTCAGGGTTCGGGGGGCGGAGCTCCTCATAGTCGATGATGGTGTGTGGAGGGACAACAGCAAACCATACGAAGACGCCAAGGACCTGAAACAGGAAGTACAACCTGAATCATGTGACAGGATGCAGAACCAGGAAGTGGTGTGACCTCTGAATTCTTACCTGGACGGAGCTGAGGATGAAGGTGATGATGAGCTGGGAGGTGGGGCTAATGAATTTGGGGGGAGTCACAGACCTCTTGCCCTGTTCGAAGATCCGGTAGATCCGGTTGGTTTTGGTCAACATGGCAGAGTACGTGATCGCCATACCGAGGCCCAGCAGGAGGCGCCGGAACGCACAGGCAAACACACCTGGTTCAGCGATCATCAGGAAGGTGATCAAGTAGATCAGGAAGATACCTAAAGACAGAGAGACAGGTATGACTTCTGGCTTCTGATGACATCACTACCATCATTAGGAAGGAACAATAAAATATGAATTTCAAAATAAAACTCCAAGAGGACGTGAAGAAACAGGAAACAGTTCAAAATAAAAGTCAAACCTGACATGCTCTGAGCTGACATATCTCACCTGTCAGTACCTGTCAGTATTAGTACCCACCTGTCAGAAGGACGTAACTGAGCTCCCTCCCTGACGCCCTGACGATGGGCGTGTCATGGAAGCGGATGAAGGTGATCACCACTGCACTGGTTGCTAGGATACCAAGCATGGCAAGAGAGGCTGGCACTAGGGCCCAGGGGGAGTTCCACTCCAATTTGATGATCGGAGTCGGTCGACAGGTAGTCCTGTTGGGGGCAGGGCGCATGTCTGATGGACAGGTCTCACAGTTAAACTCATCCACCTGGTACTGGTACCCATCACAGAGCTGCAGACAGACAGGCCAGAGAGAGAGACAGGTCAGAGAAAGAGAGAGTGAGAGAGAGAGGCATAAATGTAATGTGCTGACCTGCCAGTATATGAACCCTTACTGTGATGGTGATGGTGATGATGGTGGTGGTGATGAAGATGGTGGTGGTGATGGTGATGATGATGATGATGATGGTGATGGTGATGATGATGATGATGAAGGTGATGGTGGTGATGATGGTGGTGGTGATGAAGATGGTGGTGATGGTGATGATGATGGTGGTGATGGTGATGATGATGATGATCATGGTGATGATGACGGTGATGATGATGAAGGTGATGGTGGTGATGATGGTGGTGGTGATGAAGATGGTGGTGATGGTGATGATGATGGTGGTGATGGTGATGAAGATCATGGTGATGGTGATGATCATGTTGATGATGATAGTGGTGATGAAGATCATAGTGATGAAGATCATGGTGATGGTGATGATGGTGATGATGATGATGGTGATGATGGTGTTGATGATGGTGAGCATGATGATGATGGTGATGGTGATGATGATGGTGATGGTGATGGTGATGATGATGGTGATGGTGATGATGATGATGATGATGATGGTGATGATGATGATGATGGTGATCATGGTGATGGTGGTGGTGGTGATGGTGATGATGATGGTAGTGATGGTGATGATGATGGTGGTGGTGGTGATGATGGTGATGATGATGATGATGATGGTGATCATGGTGATGGTGATCATGGTGATGGTGATGAGGATGATGATGATGAAGGTGATGATGGTGATGATGGTGAGGATGATGATGGTGATGATGGTGATGAAGATCATGTTGATGATGATGATGATGGTGATGATGATGATGATGATGGTGATGATGGTGATGGTGATCATGGTGATGATGGTGATGGTGATCATGGTGATGGTGATGGTGATCATGGTGATGGTGATGAAGATGATGATGATGGTGAGGATGATGATGGTGATGATGGTGATGAAGATCATGTTGATGATGGTGATGATGGTGATGATGATGGTGATGATGGTGATGGTCTCACCTCACAGTGCCAGCAGCAGGGGACCCCCTTCACCATCTTCTTCCTCTCTCCTGGATTACATGGAAAACTGCAAACTGACCCTGGAACAGATTTATCTCCTCCAGACCACTGCATCTCCTCCAGCTGACAGACAGGTCAGAGAGACAGACAGGTCAGTGAGACAGACAGGTAGGTCAGGGGGACAAACAGGTCAGAGAGACACAGACAGGTCAGAGAGACAGACAGACAGACAGGTCAGAGAGACAGACAGGTCAGAGAGACACAGACAGACAGGTCAGAGAGAAATACCTGTCAGTGAGACAGTTTAGACAGACTAGAGAGAGAGAGACAGAAACACAGAATGGTAAAAAACCAGTCTCCCCCTCTTACGTTGAGTCTCAGGTTATTGGTCCATTGGCCGATCACATGGTATCCAGGATGACTGTGATTGGTCAGCTGGTACTGAAAGATGTCGTAACGACCCGGAGCGTCTCCGTTCTCATTAAACAGAACTGTCGTACCCGCACTTCCTGTAAAAAAAGACAGACATGGTACACACAGAGACAGACAGGTTATAAACAAAGAGATAGACAGGTAATATACAGAGAGACAGGTAATATACAGAGAGACAGACAGGTAATATACAGAGACAGACAGGTAATATACAGAGAGACAGACAGGTAATATACAAAGAGACAGTCAGGTAATATACAAAGAGACAGACAGGTTATACACTTGAAGAGAGTTTTTGTTCTGCACAAAATCTAAGATCACGTTTTCTTCTTCATCCTGCAGATCTTCCCCATCCCCAGCTGCTGCTTCAATAATTAAAACACACACACACACACACACACACACACACACACACACACACACACACACACACACACACACACACACACACACACAGAAACATGTAAAGTGTTTTAACTGACTTTCTGCATGTCTGAATACAGAAAAAACTGCTCAGACCAGAGTTAGAACTACAAACACCAGAACCAGAACTACAAACACAGGCTGTCAGACAGACAGGCTGTCAGACAGACAGGATTTTCGGTGTACAGAGCTGTTTAAATGTGATTTTAAATTCTCTCTCTCTTCCAGCGGCAGCTTCTTATCTTTATTAAATATAAATGTGAGTTAACAGGAAGAGAAGAAGCGGCTGTTTAGCTGCTCTGAAAGTCTCTTTGAAGACTCTAAACAGATTCTGAAACCAACATCAGGGCCCTCCATTTTTAAGGCGTGAAGCGCTTAATCTAAAAAGTGATTTTGGGCGCGTCCAACTACATATTGGTATTTAAACTGTGCACCATCTGGGCGATAAGCGAGGTGCAGGGTGCAAACAAGCTGGATTGAGTCCCTTAATTACAGAAAAAGATGAGTTTTAGTCGAACATGAATAAAACCAATCAGACTGAAAGATCTCGTTCCCTTTGAGAGGGATCCTGGTCACCTGCTCCAGAGACACCTGGAGCAGGTGACCAGGATGTGGGCACCTAGCGTGATGTTTGGCAGCAGCTCTGTGGCGCTCTTGATCTGGTCCAAAGTGTACAACATGGACTCCATGCAGAGGATCCCCTTCTCCTTCTTCAGCTCGCCACCCAGCAGACTGTAGGGGGAATGTTGTTCTCGGATCTAGCCCCCCTCGAAAAAATTTGCTGATGAGCAAAAAATTTGATCAGTGATATCACTGATCTAAGCCCATTGGCTCGTTGTGGCCCAGCAGCTCATGTTGCACGCCCATTAACTTCTGTAGCACGCCCACGATATGTCGTAGCCTGCGGTAGCACAGTAGTGCTAACGTGCTAATGTTTTTACTCCCTGGCCCTCAGAGCAAGAGTGGCTGCAATTTCCTAATATGGTAAAAGGGGTGGGACATTTCCGAGAACCGTGCTGCGCGACTGACCAATTACGGCAGAGCCGACAGGCCGACCAATCAGATCAGACTTGGCACACGTGGGGCCTCTGAACGTGGGCACTTCAGAGCCTTAGAGAGAGAGTCAGAAGAGAGCCGGTGCATGGAGCGGCAGGACATGAAAACAGACACTTTTTAATAACTTTAGTTATTGTGAACATACTTTAGTAGGTACATAGATTAAATATATGAACCCCAAAAAGGGCAGAATATGGGCTCTTTAAAGTTATACACTGAATCCTTTCTACAACATGAGAAACAATCGGGGCATTTTTTAATTAAGAGAGCAGCGTGATAACCATCTCCTCATGAGTTACAAAAGCATCTCCTCATTAATGATTAAGATCTGCAGACACGCAGACAGGATGGGACAGGATCTATGTAAACTGAACAGCTTGAGCTGAACATCAAATAAAGGTAGGCTGTAAACATTTACTTATTCTCTCTGCTGTTGATATATTCTCTAATGTTTAATGGACACTGGGCAGTCTGTGTTACTATCTGGCTTTAGACTGCAGACTTTGTCCCCATGTCCCAACACAGAACAGATAGTACACAAAGCACACAGCAGAAATCAAACAAAGTCTGAGGCCTTTTGTACAGGGCAGCTGTGACAGCAGGGATCAGGCTTTTCCCAAGGCGAGCTCTTCTGCACCTCAGTGCCCCTGTACCTCCGTCCTGAGGGACGTGCTGTGAGGTAGATGTTCAGTGGATGTGTGATGTCCTGTTCCATTGAGGTTACAATGTGTGTAATTGCCATGTTGTTGGGTTCTGTTGGGTTCTGTTTGGGGGGAGACCAATGATTGTGGCAGCTGTGGATGTGATGCATAAGAGTTTGGCCCTCTTTTTTAACAGATAACATGTTGAAGAAGCAGGTGGAACTGTACAGCATTATGTGCTGGATCATGCTCCGATAGAGCAGAAGGAGAAGATTTCAGTTTGCGGTTCTAGGCAGGGGCCAACAGGGGCCAGTGCCCCTGTAACACTGAGTTTGGTCCCCCCTGTGGCCACCCCTCCAAAAGAAAGAGCCCCCCCCTAATAACACATACACAGTATTTGACTCAATAACCGGACCCACTATTTAGTATTAAATACTGTTACTGAAACAAATATAAATCATGTGATGTTTCACACTTAAATATAATAGAAATCAAGTCTATCCTCTGAAAATAACTCTGTGAGTCATGACTGTCTACAATGGGTGTAACACCCGAGTCCCACTGTCTGTGATGTTTTCAGAGTTTTCAGAGTCCTATCTTCACTTTGTTTACATCGCCAGGACGGCCGGCTGACTCCTCCCCTCGTGTATAAAAGTTGTTTAATTGAGGGACTAGAGAAAAGAAGAATAACATACTGTACTCACTGCTTAACTGTGTTTCTAGATCACGCTCATTTCAGGTAAATTTACATGCAGTGTGAAGATACCAGCATAATAAAGATCGCTAGCATTAGCATGCTAACACAACAATGCAGCGCAAGTTATTTTGGTTTCATGCTGGTGCTCAAGGGTGACATCTGCTGGATCAAAAAATGGTGTTATTTGGCATAATATATATATATTTTTTAAAGCGATCATCTTTGTCTATTGTTCACCAGGGTTTAATGTTTCCCTCTGACAAAACAACTGGCCCCAGTTTGGCCCCCTCAATAAAAGTGGTCTAGAACCGCCACTGCGGTTGGCTGTCAGTCTTGGTCCTTTTAAACTTTAAAAACATCCATGAAAGTTTGGTAACTGGTCAATGTGGACTGCCTTTTCAAAGAGCGACTTGATGGGTTGTAATGTGCTCGCTGGTGTGCGTCACTACCTTGTAAAACAATATGTTATGCGAGAAAACACCATTGCGTGCATGTAAGATTTTGCTGACTGTGAAGTAGGACAAGGTCTTATGTGACGGAAATTTGATGACTGGACTCCTACTGGTTCTGTTCACAGTTTTTGCTGGTTGAAGAAGTGTTTCATAATGTTTGGAGAATAGATCAAACTGTGAACTCTACACCTGCTGTGACCTCAGATGACTTCTCAGTTAGTTTCTCACCGTTGAAGTTGACCGCTCGGATGTATTCGAGCAGCAGCCGTCCCTCCACGGGGTCCATGTTGTCACAGACTCCGGAGCTGCCGGGACACAGATCCTGCTTCATGTTGTGCAGAGCGTTCGCCACCGCGTACACGGCGTCGATCACAAACTGAACCTTCCCCTCCTGCTCGTACGCCGAGTCCCGACCGATCTTCTCCTGACCTTCAAAGACACGCCAGGTCACATGACACACCGGGTCACAGGAGATGGTTTGCGGGTTGCAAGCTTACCTGTACATTTCTTCTTGTCAGGGTCCAGTTTGATCCCAGGGCGGGTCAGTTTGCACCTGAAGTCATCCTCCCAGAACTCGTTAAACCAAATGTTCCTCCGATTGTTCTCCAGAGAGCGAGACAGGAAGTACTCATCAAAGCCTGGACACACACACACACAAACATGTAAACACACACATAGACACAATGTGTGTGTGCGTGTGTTTGTGTACCGGCTTACCGTCTATCGACGCTCGTTTTGGCAGGATGGTTACAGCGCCCTCGGCAACGTCTTCAAGCTCTGCGATTGGTGAACTCTTCGCCCCCCAGCTGTCTGATCCCACAAACAGGAAGTGACCCGTCAGGTTAGCACGTCTCGCTGCCTCGAGGACACGCCTACCAGGAGGAGAGGGGAATACCCTGAAGTGGACTGAATTGTGATGATGTCACGGTGTGGGCAAGATCAGTTTGTTCTTACTTGATGTCGTCCTCGTTGGCGAAGATGATCACTCCTCGGGCGTTACTCGTCTCCATCAGACGATTCACGATTTTATCAAACTCACCGGCCGTCGGCTCGCGAGGAATCTTCACCGACTGAGCGATACACACGCCCCCTGAGAGACAGACAGGTGAAAGACAGACAAGGACAGAGGTCAGAGATTGACTGGTTCTGTTCGAGATTTCAGCCTGTTCTCTGGTGAGTCTGGTTCTGTTCAAGATTTCTGCCTGTTCTCCGGTGAGTCTGGTTCTGTTCGAGGTTTCTACCTGTTCTCCGGCGACTCTGGTTCTGTTCGAGGTTTCTACCTGTTCTCCGGCGACTCTGGTTCTGTTCGAGGTTTCTACCTGTTCTCCGGCGACTCTGGTTCTGTTCAAGATTTCTGCCTGTTCTCCGGTGAGTCTGGTTCTGTTCGAGGTTTCTGCCTGTTCTCCGGCGACTCTGGTTCTGTTCGAGATTTCTGCCTGTTCTCCGGTGAGTCTGGTTCTGTTCGAGGTTTCTGCCTGTTCTCCGGTGAGTCTGGTTCTGTTCCAGGTTTCTTCCTTTTCTCCAGTGAGTCTGGTTCTGTTCCAGGTTTCTGCCTGTTCTCCTGTGAGTCTGGTTCTGTTCGAGGTTTCTGCCTGTTCTGTGGTGAGTCTGGTTCTGTTCGAGGATTCTGCCTGTTCTACGGTGAGTCTGGTTCTGTTCAGGGTTTCTGCCTGTCTGCCTATGAGTCTGGTTCTGTTTCAGGTTTCTGCCTGTAAAAGACGTTGTTCTGCCTCATATTGGATAATGTCGGGTCTCTGTAAATAACAGAACAAAACATTTGGCGCTACATTGAAAACGTACCGGCCTCTCTGGAGATCTGCATGAAGGCTTCGACTCCGCTCTCTCCGTAGCTTCCTTCAGACGCCAGCGTGGACACGTAGTTCCAGCCCAGCGCCTTCACGATGTCCAGCATGGTCTGAGCCTGGTATGAGTCCGGAGGAACCACGCGCGAGAAGAAGTCGTACCGATTGTTATCACTGAGCTCCGGAGCCGTGGAGGCGTAGCTCACCTGAGGGATCTGAAACCAATTAAAAATCAATGAAGAATAATCAATCAAGAGTTATTGATCAGTGATCAGACGTTCCACAGAATACCTGTCCTTCAGTCAGGGCTCAGGGTCAAATTAAATACATGCACTTACTGGTAACACTGGAAACACACACACACACACACACACACACACACACACACACACACACACACACACACACACACACACACACACACACACACACACACACACACACACACACACACACAGGATTACTGCCAAAGCTAAATGTGTGTCAGAGCTTCAATAACAATCACATTAACACCAAATAGTGTGTGTGTGTGTGCAGATTAATGAAGGACTCCACATTAAAAAGCTAAAGCAGGCCTCCATCATCATCATCATCATCATCTTCATGCTTCAGTGGAGCGAACAGAACTGTCTGTGTTCTTAGAGGTCCGACAGTCAGAAGAACCATGACATAGCACCCGTCTCACGCTGTGATTGGCCAGCTGGAGATGAGGACGTAGGTGGGGGCCAAAATCTACACAAATTAATTATGTTGTTTATGAACCTTGTTACTTATACTTACAAATAATACATTGAAATCAGATCATTCCTATAAGCTGTATTTATTAGGTTTACAATAACATCACCTTCTTCAAAACCCAGCAGTTAAAGAGAAACCAACCAGGAACTACCAGCAACAAACAACCTGCAAGTAACCACTAACACCCAGCAATCAACCAGCAACCATCCAGCAACAGACCATAAACCAACCAGCAAATAACTAGGGCCCAACAAGCAACTCCCAGCAACAACCAACAATCAACCATCCACCATCCAACCAGCAACTAACCAGAAACCAATAAGCAACTAACCAGAAACCAACAAGCAACTCGCAACAGCCAACCAGTGACTAATCAGCAACACCAAGAAACCAACCTGAAAAGAAAACCAGGAACACCCTGTAACCAATCCTAAAACCAACAAGCAACTCCCAGCAATCAACCAGTGACTAACCGGCAACACCCAGTAACCAATCATCCACCATCCAACCAGCAACTAACCAGAAACCAACAAGCAATTCACAGCAATCAACCAGTGACTAACCGGCAACACCAAGAAACCAACCAACGACGAACCAGAAACCAACAAGCAACTCCCAGCAACCAACCAGTGACTAATCAGCAAATAATTAGGGTCCAACCAGCAACACCCAGCAACCAACCATCCACCATCCAAACAGCAACTAACCAGAAACCAACAAGCAACTCCCAGCATCCAACCAGTAACCAACCAGCAAACACCAGTAACTAACCAGCAACTAACCAGGGTCCAACCAGCAAAATTGAACAACCAACCAGTAACTAATCAGCAACACCAAGAAACCAACCTGAAAAGAAAAACAGGAACACCCTGTAACCAACCAGAAAAACAACCGGAAACACAAAGCAGATTTATCACCTGTCTGTAGCCTTTAAGTTACCTGCACATCACCTATATCTCACCTGTATAACCTGTGTGTTAGTTTTGTTTCCTGTATGTTACCTGAGTGTTTCTCACCTCAAACAGTCTCAGGATGTTGGCCACCATGATGGACACAGAGCTGGCCGACGCCCCAATCACACCCACCACCCTTTCTGGTTTGCGGATGAGGGGCGGTTCTCCATTGGAGCAGCGTATGTCGGATGTGTCTTTCTGGATCAGCGCCTGGACGAAGGTGAGCGACTGCTCCAGGGCGTAGGTGTCTCTGGAGCAGGTGTCCAGGATGCGGGCCCCCAGCGTAATGTTGGGCAGCAGCATCGGGTCGCTGTTGACCTGGTCCAAAGCGTACAACATGGCCTCCATACGGTGGATCCCCTTCTCCTTCTTCAGCTCACCACACGGTAGACCGTGGGGGCCACGGGCATGTATAGGGAACAGCCCCCCCAGAGTGATGTCACCAGGTATCTTGATGGAGTGTGGGTGGAAGTGCTGGTGGGATGTGCTCACCTGAACCATCTGTAAGCTAATCCACATCCAGAAAGACAGGAAGTGGTGGAGCCAGAGTGAAGACTGACCGGAGCTCTGTCCGATCCTGAATAAGACAGACTGAAGACGGTGCACTGGGAGGGAGGGGGGGGCGGGCCCTGATGATGTCATACTGACGTAGTGTTTAAGGAAGAGTTTTCATCCTGCTGTGGAAACCTGAGGAGAGAAAAATCAATCAATCAATCAGTCAGTCAACCAAATTGTTTGGTTTCTTCCTGCTTTTCAGTCTCAGCCCTGTGATTGACCGGCGACCAGTCCAGTGTGTAACCGCGCTCCTTGTCCAAGGACGGCTGGAATCGGCTCCAGCCCCCCCTGGCGGTATAGCGGTATAGATAATGGATGGATGAGTCGTGGGGACTCTTGGGACAGTTTTTGTTGGAATATCATGACCTGAAGAGATCAGTCGGCCTTCACACCGTCAGAACAATAAATCAGAAAGACTTGTTTTTTTGTCCTTGGTCTGACAGATGCGTAGATTGTGGTTGCTGTGTTGGTTGAAACTTAAAATGGTTTAAATGGACGGGTTAGGGTTAGGGTCACAACAATAGCTTTGTAGCGCAGATGGCATGAGTGATGACTTTAGAAAGTGTTGTTTTTAAGTCCTCTTTTTGGGGCGGGGATCAATAAAAGTAAATCTTAATCTTAATCTTAATCTTAAATCTTTTAATGTACTGCACTTTCTGTTTTTATGTAAGTTTTGTTTATTGTTCGAGCCTCGTCAGGATAATGTCTGTCTCTGTTGGGACAGACAATAAAGTCTATTCTGTTATATTCTATTCTATTTGTGGTGATATCAAAATGTTTCTATTATTTGAAGAATTTCAGCACAGATGTGTCATCAGCAGATCATTTTCAGTACATCAATCAATAGAAAATCTAAAAATGTTTTTTTGAAGTAGCTTAAAGTCAAAAAGATGATTTTAATCATCATAAATTTAGGTATGGATCAACTTTATAATTTACCAATCTGCAAATAAGTCATAAAACGCGTCAAGATATGAAAAATATTTAAACCATTGATGTTGTTTTTGTATCATGTTTGAAGAAACATTAGGCTACATAAAAACTCCCCCAGTATCTTTTCTCGACACATTCATCTAAGGTCGCTGCTTTATTCAACACTGATCACTCCAGTCCAACTCACCGGAGCCGAATCCCGGTACTGATCACACTGTTCCTGGTCCTGATCACACTGTTCCTGGTCCTGATCACACTGCTCCTGGTCCTGATACCCTCTGATCCCGGTTCTGATCCTTCAAACTGTTGACTGACTCCGACGAGTCCGTCAGATCTGAAACTCCGGTTCACGTCCTGCTGCTCCAATCAGCGAGGACCAAAGACCTCTCTCTCTCTCTCTCTCTCTCTCTCTAATTAAAACATGAACGTGTGTGTGTGTGTGTGTGTGTGTGTGTGTGTGTGTGTGTGTGTGTGTGTGTGTGTGTGTGTGTGTGTGTGTGTGTGTGTGTGTGTGGGGCCAGGTGTTACGTGAGTGAAAATCACACGTCAGCTCTGTGATTTTACTCAGAGTGGATCATCTGTATCAGAGAACATCTCTGATCATCAGCTTGACACAGAGCACCCTCTGTTGGTCACAGTCAGAAATCACAATTTTTTTTTTAACAAATCAGATTTATTCAATGAAAGATTGTGTCGTTTGTACCTTCAGACGGTACGAAACATGTGACAGAACAAAGAAATGAAACTTAATCTAACATAGACTTTTTGACAATTTCATTCAAGGGACACATTCAGGACCCCCCCCCCCCCCGTACAGTGTAGCTATGAGGACAACAACTAATCAAACATACATATTTTTTTGAACCAGGCTGTAAACATGTTAATTTCTGCTGTAAAAACAGGCTTTTTTTTAGAATGGGTGTGTATGTGACTTCCTGTGCTTCTGCAGCCAGCCTCTAGTGGACACTCCAGGAACTGCAGGATTTTTCAGCATTGACTTAATTTTTCAACACCTGAAGGTTGCTGCTCGGTCGAAACATCATATTAAATTAATAATTCGACATTAACTGTCTAAATGTTTTATTTTTTAGAAATATTTACATTTTTAATTTCAAACAAGTCATCTTGGATTCTGATTGGCTGACAGTCTCTAACCAATCAGGAGCTGGTTTCTGTCTTGCTGCCAGCCGATTGGGGGCTGTGTGTTCGTGGCCGTTTGCTCTGAGGCAGTTCTGATTGGTCGGCGTCCCTGAATCCCTCTGAGGTGATTTGGTATTGGACGGCACAGTCCATGTGACCAGAAGATTTAAAGATGGCCGCCAACCGTCTTGTCCCCGCCCAGTGAAAGAGGATCCTGATGTTAGGGCCGTGGCCCCAGTTCTCCCCAAGGGCGGGGACCAGCTGTGATCTGCTGCCTTGCAGGCGTGTGGTCATCTGATTGGTCAACACCACGGCCAAGCTGTGGCTGGTTGCCATTGCGATGAGATTCTGGGCGAGGCCATTGAGGAGGCGTGTCTTCTGCCACAGCTCGCCAAAGTGCTGCCGGAAAGGAAACGCCACGCTGTCAATCACCAGGAGGCGGACCCTGGGGTGCTCAGCCAGGAAGTCAGGCAGCAGCTGGACCTCTGCCAGCAGCTCCACGTAGTCATGGCAACGCACCTGTGAGACAGCCAATCAGAATCATTCTATACGAAAGCATGACATCACAGGAACAGCTGTCACCATGACGATCTGTTAAAACATCAGCTACTCTGTCATCATCAAAATGTTATTTTTTTACTGATTTTTAATTTCTTCGATTACCAGAAAAATGTTGGACAGGATGTTTTCTACACTGAAGGTTGTCATGGCTACTCGTTGTTCGTCATCTTCGACCAATAGGGAGCAGTGTTGGACGGCAGCGGCGGCGATGTCGACGACTCTCTGCAGCAGGAAGCTTCCCGCAGTGTCGATGAAAACCGCCTGACCTCCGACACCCCCGAAACATGGCGGCACCTGAACGTCCACGGCCAGCTGCAGGCTGAGTGATGATGTCATCAACAACTTTATTGATACAGACACAGCAGACAAATTCAAGCTCACAGCCTCCTGTTGTCTGGGTTACCATGGTTACAGAGCAGAGGCGGTGCCTGTGATATGTGGTCACTGATGTCTGACTGTGTGTGTGTGTGTGTGTGTGTGTGTGTGTGTGTGTGTGTGTGTGTGTGTGTGTGTGTGTGTGTGTGTGTGTGTGTGTGTGTGTCTCAGTGTGTGTGTGTGTGTCTCAGTGTGTGTGTCTCAGTGTGTGTGTCTCAGTGTGTGTGTGTGTGTGTCTCAGTGTGTGTGTGTCTCTGTGTGTGTGTGTGTCTCAGTGTGTGTGTGTGTGTGTCTCAGTGTGTGTGTGTGTCTCAGTGTGTGTGTGTGTGTGTCTCAGTGTGTGTGTGTGTGTGTCTCAGTGTGTGTGTCTCAGTGTGTGTGTGTGTCTCAGTGTGTGTGTCTCAGTGTGTGTGTGTGTGTCTCTGTGTGTGTGTGTGTCTCAGTGTGTGTGTGTCTCAGTGTGTGTGTGTGTCTCAGTGTGTGTGTGTGTGTGTCTCTGTGTGTGTGTGTGTGTGTGTGTGTCTCAGTGTGTGTGTGTGTGTGTCTCAGTGTGTGTGTGTGTGTGTCTCAGTGTGTGTGTGTGTGTGTCTCAGTGTGTGTGTGTGTGTGTGTGTGTGTCTGTCTCAGTGTGTGTGTGTGTGTGTGTGTGTCTCAGTGTGTGTGTGTGTGTGTGTGTGTGTGTCTCAGTGTGTGTGTGTGTGTCTCTGTGTGTGTGTGTGTGTGTGTGTCTCAGTGTGTGTGTGTGCGTGTGTGTGTGTGTGTGTGTGCGTGTGTGTGTGTGTGTGTGTGTCTCAGTGTGTGTGTGTGTGTGTGTGTGTGTCTCAGTGTGTGTGTGTGTGTGTCTCACCACAGTTGTGTTTTTCCGGTTCCGGGCGCTCCACAGATTTCCGTGGTTTTCCCGACAGGAAGTCCTCCTCGGAGCGCCGTGTCGAGCTGCGAGGAGAAGGTGATGATGCTCCTCTGCTCGTCCTCCTCCTTTTGCAAAAGCTCCAGAGCGCTGACAGACGCTTCACCTCCTCCATCTCTGCTCACCGCCTGCAGCACCTCCAGCGCCTCCTGCTGGGACACACACGCCTCTGCAACACACACACACACACACACAGCAGAATGTAACTCTGACCCCTAGTGTTTAAAATGGGTACTGCAGTCTAAATTCTAAACATCATAGAGTGCTGCCCCCTCCCCTCTAGAGTTGAAGCTCACACAGGTCCCCATGTGGTGGACTCTGAAGCTTCAGTGTTTATCCAGCTCTGCATGGGTCTGTAAACCTTTCTGTGTTCTAACCTCTCTCCATTTTTCAAAAGCATCTCCAATATTGATCCTAGTTTGAGCACGTTTCTGCTCGTGGAGCTTATTAGAAACATGCAGAGGCTTTTTAGGTCGGGTACAATCACTTCTATCTGAACCACTTCTCTTGACCGCTTCCATCGCTGCAACACCTGTTGACCTGATAACTGCTCTCATATCTGACAAACCGAGGGGCGTCCAAAACGGCCGTGTGGGGGTGTCTTAAAACCACCTACCTTCTCTGGTCCAAACAAATCCAGAGCATTCAGGAGCAGAATCTAAAGTTAGAAGGAGGACATACTGGCTGCTGCATTGTTGTCAGAGAAGCCAGCACTTCAACATAGCATGTTTCCTTAATGATCAGAGAGTAAGATACCTTTATCATCTCACTCTCTACACAGCTCACTGATTGGATCTTTAAAAACGTATTCATCAGGGTTTGGTGGGTTAGTGTTACCTGAGCTCAGCTGTGTCGCTGTAACGTGCAGCAGGTCTGCAGTGAACTGGAAACCAGCACTGACCAGTTTGACCTTCACACTGGAGTTCAGAGACAGACTGGACACCGGTCTCTGCATCTTCACAGCTTTATGTTCACGTTAGCATCACTTCGAAACATCCCGCCATGACAGCTTTCTAGACCCGAACACACAAAACAAAACAAATACAGATCCGGTTTGACTTTTCAAAGTTGATTTTTAATGATCAAATCAAACACTTTAAAATACATTTACATGCTAGAATGGTCCAGTACACGTCAAACACTAAAATATAACTTACTTTCACACAAATAAATCCCCTCCTGCCGCCTTTTAATCAAAACCTTTCATTTTGTAATGACGCGTTCTTCCGACTTAAGTCTTATTTTGAAGGAGTAGCCAGGATGTTAGCTTGACGCTCCGTTTCGTCATCGAGACGCGACAGAGTTTTCACACGTGAGCTGATCTGCAGCGTAGTTTGATTAAAGAGCTGAGAGAATAGATGATAAATCAATCTAAGCTGGTTGACAAACCGCCAATAAACCAAAAAGAAGAAGTTTAAAGAAGAAGCTCAAACTAAAGGTGAGTTTGAAACCTGATAACATCCAGAGGAGCTCAGTTTGTAGTTTTAGATCTTTATCTGAGCTCAGTTTGTAGTTTTAGATCTTTATCTGAGCTCAGTTTGTAGTTTTAGATCTTTATCTGAGCTCAGTTTGTAGTTTTAGATCTTTATCTGAGCTCAGTTTGTAGTTTTAGATCTTTATCTGTTATTCTCTTGTATTGGTTTATCTTCTTTTGCCAAATCAATTTAATGCTGACACTAAACTACTGATTCAGAGAGGAAGTCCCCTGATGTCACATTCAACATGTGACTGGACGAAGTCAGGACCAGGACCAGGACCAGGACCAGGACCGGGTCCAGACTCAGAGATGTGGATACAAACAACACTTTAATCTAATGACTCTGATTTCTGTTTGATCTGCAGAGGATGAAGAGGAGAGAGGAAGAAGAGGAGGACGAGAAGGAGAGAGAGGAGAAGGAGGAGGATACAGCTCAGAGAGGAGAGGAGGTAGAAGAAGAAGAAGAGGAGGAGGTAGAAGAAGAGGAGGAGGTAGAAGAAGAAGAAGAAGAAGAAGAAGAAGAAGAGGAGGAGGAAAGAGCTGCTGCAGAGAGAGGAAGTGATGATGATGATGATGATGATGATATCAAGGTTAAGAAACATTCCAAGCAGAAAGGTGCTGGAGGGACTTCCTGTTCAGGCAGGAAGTCTGTTCCAGGTATCATCTACCTGGGACACATTCCTCCGAGGCTCCGCCCCAAACACCTGAGGAACCTGCTGTCAGCTTACGGAGAGATCGGACGCATCTTCCTCCAACCTGAAGGTACGTCGTGTATTTATTTACATTTATTTAAATGTCTCCTCTTTCCTTGTTTTGACTCCTCGTCCACTTGTCTCCTCTGTCCTTGTTTTGACTCCTCATCCACTTGTCTCCTCTGTCCATGTTTGACTCCTCATCCACTTGTCTCCTCTGTCCTTCTTTTGACTCCTCATCCACTTGTCTCCTCTGTCCATGTTTGACTCCTCGTCCACTTGTCTCCTCTTTCCTTCTTTTGACTCCTCATCCACTTGTCTCCTGTGTCCATGTTTGACTCCTCGTCCACTTGTCTCCTCTGTCCTTGTTTTGACTCCTCTTCCACTTGTCTCTGTCCATGTTTGACTTCTCGTCCACTTGTATCCTCTGTCCTTACTTTCCCTCCTCGTCCACTTGTCTCCTCTTTACTTGTTTTGAGTCCTCATCCACTTGTCTCCTCTTTCCTTGTTTTGACTCCTCGTCCACTTGTATCCTCTGTCCTTACTTTGCCTTCTTGTCCACTTGTCTCCTCTTTCCTTGTTTTGAGTCCTCGTCCACTTGTCTCCTCTTTCCTTGTTTTGACTCCTCATCCACTTGTCTCCTGTGTCCATGTTTTGACTCCTCGTCCTCTTGCCTCCTCTGTCCTTACTTTGCCTCATCATCAGCTTGTCTCCTCTTTCCTTGTTTTGACTCCTCGTCCACTTGTATCCTCTGTCCTTACTTTGCCTCATCATCAGCTTGTCTCCTCTGTCCTTGTTTTGACCCTCTCGACTCCTCTGTCCTCAGATGGTCAGGTGAGGAAGAGGAAGAAGAAGTCGGGCTTGAGGAGGTGTGACTTCACTGAAGGGTGGGTGGAGTTTTCCGATAAACGAGTCGCCAAAAAAGTCGCAGCGTCTCTGCACAACACGCCGATGGGCACCAGGAAACGCCAACGCTTCTCCTCTGACCTGTGGTCCATCAAGGTAAGTCCGCCCGGCAACTAGTGACATCACAGCCTAACCTGTGACATCACTGTAAAGCATGTCATTCTCTCACCTGTCTGTCTCTCACCTGTCTGTCTCTCACCTGTCTGTCTCTCACCTGTCTGTCTCTCACCTGTCCGTCTCTCACCTGTCTGTTTCTCACCTGTCTGTCTGTCACTTGTCCGTCTCTCACCTGTCCGTTTCTCACCTGTCTGTTTCTCACCTGTCCGTCTCTCACCTGTCCGTTTCTCACCTGTCCGTCTCTCACCTGTCTGTTTCTCACCTGTCCGTCTCTCACCTGTCTGTTTCTCACCTGTCTGTTTCTCACCTGTCTGTTTCTCACCTGTCCGTCTCTCACCTGTCTGTCTTTCACCTGTCCGTCTCGCACCTGTCCGTTTCTCACCTGTCTGTCTCTCACCTGTCCGTTTCTCACCTGTCTGTCTCTCACCTGTCCGTCTCTCACCTGTCTGTTTCTCACCTGTCTGTCTCTCTGCCTGTCTGTCTCTCACCTGTCTGTCTCTCACCTGTCCGTCTCGCACCTGTCCGTCTCTCACCTGTCTGTCTCTCTGCCTGTCTGTCTCTCACCTGTCTGTCTCTCACCTGTCTGTCTCTCTGCCTGTCTGTCTTTCACCTATCTGTCTCTCACCTGTCCGTCTCTCACCTGTCTGTCTCTCTGCCTGTCTGTCTCTCACCTGTCTGTCTCGCACCTGTCCGTCTCTCACCTGTCCGTCTTTCACCTATCCGTCTCTCACCTGTCCGTCTCTCACCTGTCCGTCTCGCACCTGTCCGTTTCTCACCTGTCCGTCTCTCACCTGTCTGTCTCTCACCTGTCCGTCTCTCACCTGTCTGTAGTACCTGCACAGGTTCCAGTGGACTCACCTGAGCGAGCGTTTGGCGTACGAGCAGACGGTGTTGCAGCAGAGATTAAGGACTGAAGTGTCTCAGGCGAAGCGGGAGACAAACTTCTACCTGAACAACGTGGAGCGGAGCGCTCACCTGGACAACGTGAGGAGGAAGAGGCAGAGAGACGGACAACAGGTAAAGTCATCTGAATCTACCTGTGACCTCTGGTGGAGTCACAGAGCTGTTGTCAGCTGTTAACACTTTTATTTGTTGTTGTCAGGTGGACGAGAAGACATGGGACTTCACGCAGCGGCAGACGGAGGACGAGATCCAGTCGAAGAAGAAGAAGAAGAACTCCGTTACCCAGAAGCACCTGAACAAGGCCCGCCTCATACAGCAGAAGAGCCAATCGAATGTCTCGCTGCTGGCCAAGATTTTCAACTCAAATAAATCAGAGTGACAGAAAAGGGACCTTGTTGGCTTTTTGGCAAGACTGTTGTCATGGGAACAGAAGGCAGACTGTGACACGCCCACCTTCAGGAGAGGACGGCTCAGTGAGGGAATGTTACCTGCTCAGGTGACAGTCAGACTCACCTGTACAGGATCTGAACCTGTCGTGGAAAGTCTCTCTGTGTTGTACATAAAATGATTGACGTGTTTTATCAGCCCCCCCCCCCCCCCCCCGACACACCTGTGTTACCTGAACTTCACTCTTGACTCCTCCAGAAGTTTGATGAATAAAGATGAGACAGGTGACAGAAACTATTTAAGGTTTTGATATTCAAAGTTATTTTACACATTTTTACGACGATCTCAATAAATCAGTTTAAATATATATATAATATAATATAATATCACTCTGTGTGTTCAGACTGTCTCACCTGATCAGGTATGAAAACATGATGGATGGAGGCGTGTGCATTCAAACACCTGAGTGAACCAACAGGTGATGCAGCTCATATGCAGCGGAGCTCCTCTTTGAAGCGACCTGATAATTAATAAAATATGAATAAAACAGATTTCTTTACCTGTTATTTACATCTGAACTGTGCTTAATTTTTTTGTATTAATTTACATATTTTTTATTAAAAGTAGAAATAATGTAAAACATTTATATATATGAAGATTTTGGTTAAATTTTTAATTATTGTTTTAATTATTTAGATTTAGTTTCATGACATCATAGAGGTGAAGCAGTTTAGTGATCAACATGTTTATGTTTACTGATTACTGCTGGGGTTACCGTACCGTGACGTCACTCCCGTGCTGTTGCGTGTTCTCGGTGAGGAGGACACACCGGAGGAGCGCAGCAGCAACATGGCTGCAGATTACTGGGAGCCACAACGATCCGACACTCTTTCAGCCTGAACCGAGCCAAAGACAACCCGGGCCGGACCGGGACAAATCACCCCGGTGAGTAGGACAATCCCGCCGGGCTCCAGGTGTCAACGGGGAACGGTTTTATTTACGACGTTAACGGAGCAGCAGCCCTCACCGACAAACCGCTCCGCCCCCGCTGCTATTAATAACACTGAGGACATTAACTGCAGGACATAGACGGGCCCGTCCTCAGCTCACTGATACACAAATATGTAGAGAATAAACACAGAATATAGACGGCACCACAGAGGAACCCAGAACATAGACGGCACCACAGATGAACACAGAACATAGACGGCACCACATAGGAACACAGAACATAGACGGCACCACAGAGGAACACAGAACATAGACGGCACCACAGAGGAACACAGAACATAGACGGCACCACAGAGGAACACAGAACATAGACGGCTCCACAGAGAACCCAGATAATAGACGGCTCCACAGAGAACCCAGATAATAGACGGCTCCACAGACAAACGCAGCATGTTAGCTGTCAGGTAGATGACCTGTCATTCAGGTGTTAGCATGTTAGCATGTTAGCTGTCAGGTAGATGACCTGTCATTCATTTGTATGGTATTTAATTGTGACATTCCAGCCCTCATGTCCCGTGTGTGTGTGTGTGTGTGTGTGTGTGTGTGTGTGTGTGTGTGTGTGTGTGTGTGTGTGTGTGTGTCCAGGTGTGGTCTCCAGGCTGGCTGCCCCGCCCCCTTCAGCATCCCGCCCCCCTCTGCCCCCCCGGGCCCCCCTCATGGAGAGGATGAGGAAGATCAAACGACAGCTGTCACTCACTCTGGGAAGGGGAGGGGCTGCGGGAGGGGACAGCATAATGGGTGACACAATCAACCAGGAAGTGACATCACACAGTGACTCAGGTAACACACGCAACAGGTGACCTTTATCAAACCTGACCATCATTACCTCACAATGTTTCTTTACAGTGTTTCCCCAGTTCCGGTGTTAAACTGGGACCAGCTCCGGTGTTAAACTGGGACCAGCTCCGGTGTTAAACTGGGTCCAGCTCCGGTGTTAAACTGGGACCAGTTCCGGTGTTAAACTGGGACCAGTTCCGGTGTTAAACTGGGACCAGCTCCGGTGTTAAACTGGGTCCAGCTCCGGTGTTAAACTGGGACCAGTTCCGGTGTTGAACTGGGACCAGTTCCGGTGTTGAACTGGGTCCAGCTCCGGTGTTAAACTGGGACCAGCTCCGGTGTTAAACTGGGTCCAGCTCCGGTGTTAAACTGGGACCAGTTCCGGTGTTAAACTGGGACCAGTTCCGGTGTTAAACTGGGTCCAGATCCTGTGTTAAACTGGGTTAATTTCATGTTTTAAACTGGGTCCAGCTCCGGTGTTAAACTGGGAGCAGATCCTGTGTTAAACTGGGACCAGTTCCGGTGTTAAACTGGGACCAGTTCCGGTGTTGAACTGGGTCCAGTTCCGGTGTTAAACTGGGACCAGTTCCGGTGTTAAACTGGGAACAGTTCCGGTGTTAAACTGGGAACAGCTCCGGTGTTAAACTGGGACCAGTTCCGGTGTTAAACTGGGACCAGCTCTGATGTTAAACTGGGACCAGTTCCGGTGTTAAACTGGGTCCAGCTCCGGTGTTAAACTGGGACCAGATCCGGTGTTAAACTGGGTCCAGCTCTGGTGTTGAACTGGGACCAGCTCCGGTGTTGAACTGGGACCAGATCCGGTGTTGAACTGGGACCAGCTCCTGTGTTAAACTGGGACCAGTTCCGGTGTTAAACTGGGAACAGCTCCGGTGTTAAACTGGGACCAGTTCCGGTGTTAAACTGGGACCAGATCCGGTGTTAAACTGGGTCCAGCTCTGGTGTTAAACTGGGACCAGCTCCGGTGTTGAACTGGGACCAGCTCCTGTGTTAAACTGGGACCAGCTCTGGTGTTGAACTGGGAACAGCTCCGGTGTTGAACTGGGACCAGCTCCGGTGTTAAACTGGGTCCAGCTCCGGTGTTGAACTGGGACCAGCTCCTGTGTTAAACTGGGACCAGATCCGGTGTTAAACTGGGACCAGCTCCTGTGTTAAACTGGGTCCAGCTCCGGTGTTAAACTGGGTCCAGCTCCTGTGTTAAACTGGGACCAGCTCTGGTGTTGAACTGGGAACAGCTCCGGTGTTGAACTGGGACCAGCTCCGGTGTTAAACTGGGTCCAGCTCCGGTGTTGAACTGGGACCAGCTCCTGTGTTAAACTGGGACCAGATCCGGTGTTAAACTGGGACCAGCTCCTGTGTTAAACTGGGTCCAGCTCCGGTGTTGAACTGGGACCAGCTCCTGTGTTGAACTGGGACCAGCTCCGGTGTTAAACTGGGACCAGCTCCTGTGTTAAACTGGGTCCAGCTCCTGTGTTAAACTGGGTCCAGCTCCGGTGTTGAACTGGGACCAGCTCCTGTGTTGAACTGGGACCAGCTTCGGGTGTGATATTGAGCTCAGAGCAGCAGGATGTTGTTTCTAAATCATATTCAGCTCCCACTACCACCACTGACTCCAGACTGGTTTAACTGGGCAGTTATTAAATTCATCAGTTTCATAAGAAGTAGAATCTTTGTTGATGTTGTGACATAAAGACGTCTCACTGTGGTTTAGTAGACACGTGTTGGTTATCCAGGGACTTTGTGGGATTATGTCCTTAGTGGTGGACAAAGTTTTCCTTCCTGCTCTAAAGTAAAAGTCCCTCTGTGATGTCCGTTAGGTGTGTTTGAGCTCCGTGTGTTTAACATTTGTTAAAGAAAACATGACGACGATGTGAAGGAGGCGTGTCCTAACATATAACACTGTTCTCTCTAAAAGATGAGTCACACTAGCGTCTCCTCCGCCATTGTTGTTGACAAAGCCTAATGTTGTATGTCCCACCCCGTCTTGATTCTGATTGGTCAGTGACATTTTGAACAGTGACGTTGACTTTTCAACTGATGTCAAATCTTATGTCGTCGTCGGTTATTTCACGTAAAGTAACGAGTGCTTTTAAATTTCTGTATTTGCGACGGCATGATTGAAAAGTAACTTGATACACGACTAGTTACCAAAAGTGTAATTACAGTATTATTCAGATTAATCAATCAATACTGAACTAATAAGATAATCAATCAATTAATTGATCAATGAATTGATCAATCAGCCTCTTTCTTCTTTCTTTGTAACTCTTTTTCCTGCTTTTTTTTTTTCTACTCGATCAACCAATCAACATCCTCAATCACACCTAAACCCTGCCCACTACATAACCTCTCCTTCATGACCCCCCCCCCCCCCCCAAACAGAGGTGGTGTCTCGTCGTGGTTCTTCTTCTTCTTCTTCTTTGAAGGTTCGAGGTTCTTCTTCATCAGTAACGTCTCTTCTTCAGTCGTACGGCCGGAAGCCAAGAAACCTCGGACGCAGCCTGAGCTCCTACTTGAACCACACCACCCGCCTAGGTACACACACACACACACACACACACACACACACACACACACACACACACACACACACACACACACACACACACACACACACACACACACACACACACACACACACACACACACACACAAACTGCTGTGTTGTGCTGTTTGCATTACTGTTTTTTCTGAAATTATTTATAATGGTGTGTGTGTGTGTGTGTGTGTGTGTGTGTGTGTGTGTGTGTGTGTGTACTGTCAGAGATCGTCCATGAGGACGTGAAGATGAGTTCCGACGGTGAAAGTGATCCTTCATCAGAGGAAGTTCAGAGTCCAGTTAGAGTCCGCATGAGGAACAAGAAAATCTCCTCCGAGGTACACACTCATAATACACACTCATAATACACACTCATAATACACACTCATAATACACACTCATTCACAAAAATACACACTCATAATACACACTCATTCACAAAAATACACACTCATAATACACACTCATTCACAAAAATACACACTCATACTACACACAAATACACAAAAAGTTTTTCTCCACCTGTCTGTCTCTGTCTGTTTTTCTGCAACTGTCTGTCTCTACCTGTCTGACTCTCTCCATCTGTTTTTATCTACCTGTTTTTCTCTACCTGTCTGTCTCTCCATCTGTTTTTATCTACCTGTCTGTCTCTTTCCATCTGTTTTTATCTACCTGTTTTTCTCTACCTGTCTGTCTCTCCATCTGTTTTTCTCTACCTGTCTGTCTCTCTCCATCTGTTTTTATCTACCTGTTTTTCTCTCCCTGTCTGTCTCTCCATCTGTTTTTCTCTACCTGTCTGTCTCTCTCCATCTGTTTTTATCTACCTGTCTGTCTCTCTCCATCTGTTTTTCTCCACCTGTCTGTCTTGTTTTACCTGTCTGTCTCTCTCCATCTGTTTTTATCTACCTGTCTGTCTCTCTCCATCTGTTTTTATCTACCTGTCTGTCTCTCTCCATCTGTTTTATCTACCTGTCTGTCTCTCTCCATCTGTTTTTCTCCACCTGTCTGTCTTGTTTTACCTGTCTGTCTCTCTTGTGTTTCAGGACATAAACAAACGCCTGTCGTTGCCGGCTGATATTCGTCTTCCTGACGGTTATCTGGAGAAGTTTAATGTGATTGGTCCATCCCTGTTTGATCAGCCAATCAGCAGGCGGCTGCGCAGAGTGTCTCTGGTATGTCTGTTTGATTCCTCTCTGTTTCTATTCACCATATTCACACGTTTCTGTTAAAGTTGGTGTTAGCCTGCAGCAGCTTCATGCTAACGTGAGCTGCTGTCTGGTGGAAGCTAATTAATCATTAAATCAGTGAATAACTTCAAAAATGTCCCTCCATACTCTCAGTATCTAACATTGTTTCAGTAGCTGTTCAAATCCCAACATTTATACAACTTACAAACATTCAAATCTTAAAAAAACAACATTACGATTCAAACTCTGAGTGTGATGTCAGAGGAAAATGGCCACCCGTAGAATTATGCTGCAGCTTCATCGATTTTTACATTTTCAATGTTTTAGAACAGATTATTTGAACCCTGTACCTCTGCCTGCCTTTCGGTCTCTCTGCTTACCTGTCTGTCTGCCCTTCCTGTCTGTCTGTCTCCCTTTGCAGTCAGAGATTGGTTTTGGGAAACTGGAGACGTACATCAAACTGGACAAACTGGGAGAGGTGAGGACATCCTGATGAAAGCAGAATAAACCGTTAAACCGTAACTAACAAGTATTATTATGACAATAAATACATTCAGAGAGACAGAGAGAGAGAGAGACAGGTGCTAGGTGAGCTAGGTCCCCCAGCAGTCTCACCTTTCTGTCTCTCACCTGTTTCTCACCTGTCTGTCTCTTACCTGTCAGTCTCTTACCTGTCAGTCTCTCACCTGTCTGTCTCTCACCCGTCTTTCTCTCACCTGTTTCTTACCTGTCTGTCTCTTACCTGTCTGTTTCTCACCTGTTTCTTACCTGTCTCTCACCTGTCTGTCTCTTACCCGTCTGTTTCTTACCTGTCTGTCTCTTACCTGTCTGTCTCTTACCTGTCTGTCTCTTACCTGTCTGTCTCTCACCTGTCTGTCTCTCACCTGTCTGTCTCTTACCTGTCTATCTCTTACCTGTCTGTCTCTTACCTGTCTGTCTCTTACCTGTCTGTTTCTCACCTGTTTCTTACCTGTCTCTCACCTGTCTGTCTCTTACCTGTCTGTCTCTTACCTGTCTATCTCTTACCTGTCTGTCTCTTACCTGTCTGTCTCTTACCTGTCTGTCTCTTACCTGTCTATCTCTTACCTGTCTGTCTCTTACCTGTCTGTCTCTTACCTGTCTGTCTCTTACCTGTCTGTCTCTCAGGGCACGTACGCCACAGTGTATAAAGGTCGAAGTAAACTAACGGAGAATCTTGTCGCTCTGAAAGAGATTCGACTTGAACATGAAGAAGGAGCTCCGTGTACTGCGATCAGAGAAGGTACATAAACACAAACCCACAGTATGAATACTACAGTACTTCTCAGCACCAGTGTCACTGGAGTGTCAGTAGTTCTACACAGTGTGTGTGTGTCAGTAGTTCTACACAGTGTGTGTGTGTCAGTAGTTCTACACAGTGTGTGTGTGTCAGTAGTTCTACACAGTGTGTGTGTGTCAGTAGTTCTACACAGTGTGTGTGTCAGTATTTCTACACAGTGTGTGTGTCAGTATTTCTACACAGTGTGTGTGTGTCAGTAGTTCTACACAGTGTGTGTGTCAGTATTTCTACACAGTGTGTGTGTCAGTATTTCTACACAGTGTGTGTGTCAGTAGTCCTACACAGTGTGTGTGTCAGTAGTCCTACACAGTGTGTGTGTCAGTATTTCTACACAGTGTGTGTGTGTCAGTAGTTCTACACAGTGTGTGTGTCAGTAGTTCTACACAGTGTGTGTGTGTCAGTAGTTCTACACAGTGTGTGTGTCAGTAGTTCTACACAGTGTGTGTGTCAGTAGTTCTACACAGTGTGTGTGTCAGTAGTTCTACACAGTGTGTGTGTCCTGGCTCAACAGAGCAGTGACAAAAGAGGGAGACCACACATAGTCGGCAACATTATTCAAAGGAGTTTAATTAAATTGTGTGTGTGTGTGTGTGCGTGCGTGCGTGCGTGCGTGCGTGCGTGCGTGCGTGCGTGCGTGCGTGCGTGCGTGCGTGCGTGCGTGCGTGCGTGCGTGCGTGCGTGCGTGTGTGGATGAATAAATGAGTGTCAAACTCCAACCAAAGCACAAACAAATGTTAACAGCAGTATGCAGGAGAGAAGAGAGCGAGTAGATTGAGCAGGTCTGCTTTGTAGACTCCAAACCAGCCAGCTCAGACAAGCAGGAAGAAGCCAACCTTGAGGCCGTCACAACAGTGTGTGTATTAGGTGTGTGTAGTAATGTGTATAAAGTTGTGTATTTTCTCTCTCAGTTTCCCTTTTGAAGGATCTCAAACACGCCAACATCGTCACGCTTCATGACATCATCCACACACAGAAATCCCTCACCCTGGTGTTTGAGTATCTGGTGAGACACACACACACACACACACACACACTCAAACAATTCTCTGTCATTGGGTGTATTGATTTTATTGATTTTTTAATTTTTTTCAGGACAAAGATCTTAAACAGTATCTGGACGACTGTGGAAATGTCATCAACGTTCACAACGTCAAAGTAAGAAGAATATTTTTATCTGTACAGCCGTACTGCTGTTTGTATTCACAGTACAGTTCTGTGGTTCAGTCACCATGGCAACTGTTTTGTTGCATTGTTGATTGTTCAGGTTTTTTTGTCGGTTGGTTGAAAAAGGTGTGGCAGTAGTGCTGGGCGACATGGCCTAAATTTGATATCACAATATTTTTTTGCCTAATGTCGATATTCGATATGACTCGATATTTATCATATTAAAGTTTATAAATGCAGTCTATAAAACTGAATCTCCACTTTATAATAAAAAGCATCACTGGCCCGATCTTTGTAATCATTGGCCCAGGAACATCACTTTTGATTCGAAGAATAACAGTCACCAATTTACTCTTGAACCATGCTGATGCAAAAGTCAATTACAACTTTTATTAAATTAATTGAGCTCTAATTATAAAAATATTGTGCATTTTTCTTATATTTTTATATTTATGTGCTCATGTTTATTCACCATGCTGCTAACTGTAAGAGTCTACTTAATGTGATATTAATATGAGGCTGTGATAGATCTGGAATCTCTCCTTCTTTCTTCTCTGTGAGAAACTCTTCATCATTAGATCTTTACTTTAGGAGCTCTCTTAAGGGCTAACATGTTTGTGAATAACTTTTATCTTTACCAGGATCTAGTCTTTAACTTTAACGTGTTCCAGCTCCTCCAGCTGTCTGTCACTGTGGATCAAACTTTTCTCCGTTCTGTTTTCGTCCTGCTGTCACTCTCAACTCTTCCGGTGATTTTTTTCCTTTGAATGCTGATTTAAACTCAGCTTTTGTCAGGATTTGATGGTTTTAATCTGTGTGAGAGTGTACAATACGAGTGTAGCGAGCACGCTCGCGGGAGTGACAGCAGTGAAGCCGCCAGCTGAACGCGCAATCAGCTGGACTCTGTCAATCCTTCATCTGGGCCAGCGGGACAGTTATAATGTCGAGCCCTGCGTTATGAACCTTTTTTTGGAAGTAATTCGGCCTCGCTCGCATCTTTCTCTTTCTCCTCCATGTTGGTCGCTTTCAAGAGCGAGGCTACTCAGCAGCAGGAGTGGAGTCTCCTCTGCCCTTTTGTCTCCGCGCAACAAGCGCTGCCGCGGAAATCTTGCGGAGCAACGAAACCTTGCAGAGCAACGAATTATCGTGAGAAAACTTTGAAGTAGTTAAAAAAATAAAATCGATGTTCCCTTTTCCATATCAAGCATAAATTAAATATCGAACGAATCGAGCTTCACGATATATCGCCCAGCACTATGTGGCAGTGGGATAACCTTACCTTCTTGATACTTTAACATGACATGACGACTGAACCATGACTGAAAATATCACAATCATACCAACATATGAAGCCACGCCCCTTTCTCGTCTGCTTTGTCCGCATGTGACCGTTTTAACGCTAATGTGGACGTTTTTTTTCTCCATCATTTTCATGTGCTTTGATCTTAAACGGTGTTGACCGGTTCCTGCAGTGACCCTTGTGGTGTTTCTCTCAGCTCTTTCTGTTCCAGTTGCTGCGTGGTTTGTCATACTGTCATCGGAGGAAAGTTCTCCACAGAGACCTGAAACCCCAAAACCTGTTGATCAGCGAGCGAGGGGAGCTGAAGCTGGCGGATTTTGGTGAGTTACCTTGAAGTGTTTACTGATTTTAACTGAGAAGGAAGATCGCCATCATGTTTCATTAGTCCACCTGTCACTTTAACTGGTCTACAGACCCCTTTAACTGGTCTACAGACCCCTTTAACTGGTCTACAGACGGTGACCCCTTTAGCTGGTCTACAGACCCCTTTAACTGGTCTACAGACGGTGACCCCTTTAGCTGGTCTACAGACCCCTTTAACTGGTCTACAGACGGTGACCCCTTTAGCTGGTCTACAGACCCCTATAACTGGTCTATAGACCCCTTTGACTGGTCTACAGACCCCTATAACTGGTCTATAGACCCCTTTGACTGGTCTATAGACCCCTATAACTGGTCTACAGACCCCTTTGACTGGTCTACAGACCACTTTGATTGGTCTACTGACGATGACTTAATCTAAAATAACCTCTATGATGATGTCATTCAGGTGTTGCAGAGTCTTTGATGATGTCATTCAGGTATTGCAGAGTCTTTGATGATGTCATTCAGGTATTGCAGAGTCTTTGATGATGTCACTGAGGTGTGTGTTTTTGTGTTTCAGGTTTGGCTCGAGCGAAGTCGATCCCGACGAAGACATACTCTAACGAGGTGGTGACGCTGTGGTACAGACCGCCCGACATCCTGCTGGGTAGCACTGATTACTCCACCCACATCGACATGTGGTCAGTCCTGTGCTACTGTTGGTGTACGCTGTAGTTCATTATAGAACTACAACTTCAAATGACCGCGCTCTGCCTGCCTCTCTGTCTGTCTGTCTGTCTGTAGGGGTGTTGGTTGTATCTTCTATGAGATGGCGACAGGGCGTCCTCTGTTTCCTGGTTCAACGGTGGAGGAGGAGCTTCACTTCATCTTCAAACTGCTCGGTGAGCCAGTCAGCTTCCGTTATTCCGACTGAACTCTGCGTGTGTCTGAGTTTGTATATTTCATGTATTATGGGTGTACATTGTGTCTTTGATGTGTTGTGTGTGCAGGGACTCCCACAGAGCAGAGCTGGCCTGGGATCAGTTCAAATGGCGAGTTTGTGACGTACAACTACCCTCAGTACAGAGCTGAACAACTGAGTACACACACTCCGAGGTACACAACTTTACTTACGACAAGCAAACAAAAACAAGAAAATAAAGGAGACTTAAAGCTGTTAGTGTGTGGAGATATAACTCTGTGTGTGTGTGTGTGTGTGTGTGTGTGTGTGTGTGTGTGTGTGTGTGTGTGTGTGTGTGTGTGTGTGTGTGTGTGTGTGTGTGTGTGTGTGTGTGTGTCTTCAGGCTCAGCAGTGAAGGTGTGGACCTGTTGTCAAAGTTCCTGCAGGTCAGTAAACGTCTCACTATGTTCTTCTAATGGAAATTTAAAAAAAAAAGTCAGAATAAAAAAGATGAAAATAGTTATATTGGGACTGTGAAGCTCAGTACAGGAAGTGACATCATCAGGCCTGTTTTTTGTGTTTTTTTTTGTTCAAACTTTATTTCAACTGCAGTTTGAAGGGAAGAAGAGGATCTCGGCGGACGGGGGCATGAGTCATCGATACTTCAGTAACCTTGGAAACAGTGTGATCTCACTTCCTGACTGTAAGTTTAAAAATGACCTTTGCCCCGGTTTTGATGACATCACAAAGTCACTACGAGGCCGTTCACACCTTACATTAACATCCAGCCAGGTGATCCTGTAACAGGCAGGTATTGTTTACACACGTTGAGTCCTGAGGACGGCTCAGACTCGTTTATCCACGTTGGTTAGGTCGTGTAAACACTCGTGTGTCCGGGGAGCATTAAGGACCGCCCCCTCAAACGAGGTAATCTGTGATACCAGTAACCCTCTGCCGGGTGAAAACGATGATCCAGTCAGTCTTTTTAAACGGGCAGCGTTTGTCTGCAGCAGAGATCATTTTGACCTCGACCAAAGGAGACACATTATTAATGCAGAGTGTAAACGCCGTGCTGAAGCGGCGTCCAGCTGCGATCAGGTCACAGAGCACGACGAAAGGTGTCAACAGTTTCTGTGATGTTTGTTTCAGCAACGTCCATCTTCAGTCTGCCGGAGATACGACTGGAAAAAGAGACACTCAGACCGACTGTCCCTCCTGAGCCAGGTAACACACACACACACACACACACACACACACACACACACAGATTAGACACACACACACACACACACACACACACACACACATAAAATGTATTTACATGTTTATTTATAAAATTATTACTTATATAATTGTTCTTTTAATTATAGTATTTTTTTATGTTCAACAAAACTGTCTTTGCTATTTTTCACAGTAAAATTGTATTGCATGCCTTTTGAACGGCCAATCAGAAAATTTCCTAGCCTCAGCCAATCAGAAAATTGGATTTCTCCTTCACATTCTAAATGAAATTTTAGCTGCAATACCACAAATGGCCTGTGATGGGGCCCTACATCACACACTTTTTTGACTTCACTAAGTAAATGAGGACCTTCTCTGAAACTCATACAGATCATTCATAGGGATCAAAGGAGCACATCCGAGCATTCTCCTTGTGTGGACCAGGCAAAATGTCCACACAAGGAGAAATGTCCTCACAACAAAACTGTTTTGCCATGGGTTGGTCCACACAAGCATAGAAATACAAGTACACACACACACACGCACACACACACACACGCACACACACACACACACACACTTAAACTGGTCTAATCAGTCAGCAGGTTTTGTAGTAAATTTACTCCAATTAGAATTTTTTTTTTTTTTTTCTTGCAGCAAATAGTCCGACGAGGAGGCGGAGTCTGCTCTTCTGACATCATCAACGAGGCGGGGTCAGACATGATTGATGATAAGAAGGAGGAGAACCCGCTGCTGAGAAACAGGAAGTGTGACATACAGACGCAATAAAGACTCACCACTCGTCCAATCAGTTAACAGCATGTTGTTGCTAACGGCAACAGATCCACCACAGCACACGACCCGATGAATGACTTGAAGTTTATTGCACACATGAGATGTGGGTGTGAAGTCTGTCTTCCTTTTTCACAGATTTTTAAAAGACTTTTATCAGGATCCTGGAAAACCCGGAATTCTTCTGACGCAGCCTCGTTGTCATGGAAACACCTGGATACAGTCACACCTGCAGTGTGCGGCGTGGTGTCTAGAGTTAACCTGAAGTTGTTTGACTTACTGAACGGTATGACATCAGTGATGACATCATAGAAATGGACTGATGACATCACAGGCTGTGGGAGAATCATCAGTTTGAAGTCAAGCAGGTGAAGGTTGTGACATCATCATCACGTGACAGGAAGTGAGTGATTTTTCATCAGCGAATTTAAACTGGAGATGAGATGAAGCGTCACATTTATGACCTCAGAGTTTTAGCGTGTTTTTAAACGTGTTTTTAACGTGTTCAGAGCTGCTGCAGTTTAAACGTCAGTGTTAGTGTCATTATTAATCTGAAGAAGCCATTTTATTCTGAAAGAAACCTGCTGAACAAAACTCTTATTCTGAAAGAGTGAAACTGGTTTCTGCTGTACTGCATGTGTGTGTGTGTGTGTGTGTGTGTATGAGTGTGTGTGTGTGTGTGTGTGTGTGTGTGTGTGTGTGTGGTGTGTGTGTGTGTGTGTGTGTGTGTGTGTGTGTGTGTGTGTGTGTGTACGTACACTCAGACTGTATGCTATAATACTGTTGATATATACTAATACTGTAAAGTGTGTAAAACTGAGGAGTCAGAGCCGTGGAAGAAAGATTTAATTTGAAAAGTTCACAGATAGTTTCCTGTTTTTTAGTTGTCACCTAAAAAAAAAAACACTTCCTGTTCAGCAGTCAAAAAACAAAACAAGACAAAGGCTGAGACAAGCCCCCCCGTCAGTCGACTGTTAACCCACTCTAAGCTAACTGCTAGCCAACGTTCGGCCTCTGTGTGCGCGTAAACGGCCCGCTGCTCAGAGGCCGAGGCCGTTTTGGAAACCGCCTACTATTCTAGGGATTAAATATCCCGTCTGACCTGGGAACGCCTCAGAAACCCCCGGGAGGAGGAGCTGGAAAATGTTGCTGGGGAGACGGAAGTCTGGGTTGACCGATCTCGGATAAGCGGACGAAAATAGGTGGATGGATTGATTACAATCTGCATCAGACCAGTGTTCCTCGTGTTCGGTTTCCCACAATGCAAAGCGGCAGGTCAGAAATGGAAATGACGTCGTCCATCATAACAGAAGAAATAACCACACTCGGACCAAACCACACAAAGAGACCAACAGTTATCTTTGTTTACTCTCTAAATTGTGAAAATCTAAATTAACGTTTAGATTTTAGCTGGGCTGTTTACTTCCTCATTCCAAGACCGGAAACCAGCCAAGCCGGGCCTGGAGGTCAGACTACAGACTGGAGGTCAGACTACAGACTGGAGGTCAGACTACAGACTGGAGGTCAGACTACAGACTGGAGGTCAGACTACAGACTGGAGGTCAGACTACAACTGGAGGTCAGACTACAGACTGGAGGTCAGACTACAGACTGGAGGTCAGACTACAGACTGGAGGTCAGACTACAGACTGAGGTCAGACTACAGACTGGAGGTCAGACTACAGACTGGAGGTCAGACTACAGACTGAGGGTCAGACTACAGACTGAGGTCAGACTACAGACTGGAGGTCAGACTACAGACTGGAGGTCAGACTACAGACTGGAGGTCAGACTACAGACTGAGGGTCAGACTACAGACTGGAGGTCAGACTACAGACTGGAGGTCAGACTACAGACTGAGGGTCAGACTACAGACTGAGGGTCAGACTACAGACTGAGGTCAGACTACAGACTGAGGGTCAGACTACAGACTGAGGGTCAGACTACAGACTGAGGGTCAGACTACAGACTGAGGGTCAGACTACAGACTGTGGGTCAGACTACAGACTGAGGGTCAGACTACAGACTGAGGGTCAGACTACAGACTGAGGGTCAGACTACAGACTGGAGGTCAGACTGCAGACTGAGGTCAGACTACAGACTGAGGGTCAGACTACAGACTGGAGGTCAGACTGCAGACTGGAGGTCAGACTACAGACTGGAGGTCAGACTACAGACTGAGGTCAGACTGCAGACTGGAGGTCAGACTACAGACTGGAGTCAGACTGCAGACTGAGGGTCAGACTACAGACTGGAGGTCAGACTACAGACGAGGTCAACACAGACTGGAGTCAGACTGCAGACGAGTCAGACTACAGACTGGAGGTCAGACTACAGACTGAGGTCAGACTGCAGACTGGAGGTCAGACTGCAGACTGAGGTCAGACTACAGACTGGAGGTCAGACTACAGACTGGAGTCAGACTACAGACTGAGGTCAGACTGCAGACTGGAGTCAGACTACAGACTGAGCGTCAGACTACAGACTGGAGTCAGACTACAGACTGAGGGTCAGACTACAGACTGGAGGTCAGACTACAGACTGAGGTCAGACTGCAGACTGGAGTCAACTACAGACTGAGGTCAGACACACTACTGAGGTCAGACTACAGACTGGAGGTCAGACTACAGACTGGAGTTCAGACTACAGACTGGAGGTCAGACTACAGACTGGAGTTCAGACTACAGACTGTAGGTCAGACTACAGAC